AGCTCCAAAAAGATAATGCTTCAGATTTTTTCTATCAGACTTTTCATGAACAACACATGCAGGGATTGCTCCGGTACCCTTATACTATCGTGAATGGGGTCCTCTTCCATACCGGTCGTTATGTGATCAACCCAACATCTCCTCTATGGCATACAATCATTAGTGAATTTCACGATACACCAAGTGGTGAACATGCTGGTGTGAAACATACCCTAGTTCGTGTTGCTGCCAATTTTTATTGGTCCGATATGCGTAAAGCAGTGGAAGAGTATGTCAGCTCATGTCTTACTTGCCAACAAATTAAATACTCAACGCAGGTTCCAGCGGGACTCCTTCAACCTCTCCCGATTCCAGAGACGGTTTGGGAAGATGTGACAATGGATTTTATTACGGGTCTCCCTCCCTCTCAAGGATCCACGGTTATCCTTGTTGTTGTGGATCGATTATCGAAAACAGCTCACTTTGGTGCTCTTCACACGTCATTTACCGCTTCCAAAGTAGCAGAGTTGTTTGTGTCTTTGGTTGTGCGTCACCATGAGTACCCTCGTTCCATTGTGTCTGATCGTGATCCAGTCTTCATTAGCGCTTTTTGGCGCAAGCTGTTTGAACTTAGTGGCACCAAGCTTGCTATGAGCAGTGCCTATCACCCTCAAACTGACGGTCAAACCGAGGTAGTTAACCGTGGGTTGGAACAATATCTTCGTGCCTTCACTCAACATAAACTGTCTTTATGGGTTGCATTCCGCCCGTGGGCCGAATTTCATTATAACACCAGCTACCATAGTGCCGTGCAAATGTCCCCTTTCGAGGCTCTTTATGGTCGAAGACCACCCACCATTCCGGCATATACTAGGGGATCCACTTCTATAGTATTGGATGAGACCCTAACTTCTTGTGACGAATTACTCCGCACTTTGAAGACAAATTTAACTGCTGCTCAACATAGAATGCGTCAGAAGGCCAATGCACATCGTCAAGACATTACTCTCGCTGTTGGTGATTTGGTTCTCGTACGCCTCAGACCGTATCGCCAAACATCAGTCCGTCAATTGAAACACCACAAGCTCTCGAAGAGGTTCTATGGTCCTTATAGCATCATCGAGCGCATTGGGACAGTGGCATACAAACTCCAACTTCCTCCTGGTAGTCGCATTCACCCGATTTTTCATGTGTCGGCTCTTAAACCTTTTCGTGGTACTGATAAGATGTCTGCATGTGACTTACCCTTGGAAAGCTTTGATAACCAACCTATTGATCAACCAAGGGCAATTTTAGATTGGCGAACTCAGTTAGTTCACGGGCAACCACAGGAACAACTCTTGGTGCATTGGGAGGGTTGTCGAGTTGATGAAGCTTCCTGAGAAGACTTGGAAAATTTCCGCACTTGTTATCCTGATTTTCACCTTAAGGACAAGGTGAGTTCTGCAGAAGGGGAAAATGATACAAACCAACCAGTGGACCCAGACCCAATAAGGAAGGATGACCCAATAGTAAGGAAACGAGCAAGAAAGAAGCCAGCGTGGATGACTGATTATGTCTGCGGACAAAATTAGAAGATCCTGATATGCTCAAATTATGTCTGCGGACAAAATTAAAAGATCCTGATATGCTCAAATTAATTCCTGAAATTTCTGTTGCAAATTATTAGTTTAATTCCTGTTTTATTTTCCTAATTTTTGCTTGATTGTTAGCACCCAATTCCTTTTAATAGCTATGATGTAATCAAAACAGAACATAATAAAAGTTTTCAAGATCCTTTTTCCCCCAAATTCTATTATTCTCTTTCCCTTAATTTTCTGAGGAGTGGACACTCACTCGAAGAGTGTTAAAACCTTTGAGCATTCTGCAGCAGAGTGTATCAATCTACCTCAACTGTTCACCTCCCAATGTACACCACTCGAATTTACGAAAAAATATATATTTTTACCTCATTTTTACTCTAGTCAGTTACAACCCTCCAAGATTAAAGCATTACTCCAAACCATAACAACTATCATATGTTTCTTGTCAATCCATACACATAGAAAAAATTACAATGTACCAACATACACAAGTGCATACAAGAAATACACATATGTTAGATATATTTTATATATGAAAAATACATATACACAAAATCTAAATTCTTATTTGTTTGTACTAGTGAAGAAATAAAGAGACAATTTTGAGTAGATTTATTATGTTTGTTTGATGATTTGGTGAGAAAGATATAATTGATTATCAAGTCACCTGTAAAATATAGAGAGAAGATTTGAATGGAGAATAAGTATGAAAGGTTAAAATTACTATATTACTATTAAAAATTACCCATAATAAATTAGGTAAACATCTATATTGGATTATGTGAAGATGCAATTCTATATAATTAATTATGTGTGTAATTATTTGTCTTTAACTTTAATAAAATCATTTCTTTTTAACAATTATTTTATTGATTCAATTTTAAAATAATATTATATAAAAATTATTCAAAATATATTTTATAATATTATTATTTTATATATATGTATATATAATATTATTAATTTTTTTATTAATAATTAAATGAAATATGTGAAATCAATATTTTAATTATATGAGTTTTTTTAAGCATATAATAAATTGATATTTTTAATTAATAAAATTTGTAAGAGGATTGAGATTAATAATTAATCTTCATAAAAAATATAATATTTATATCTTTATATAGACAAATAATTTGTAATTTTACAATTTTTTTAATTAATATACAATTCTCATTTTTCATTTTTTATTATTTTTTAGTTATTTATATTTATATTATATTTTTTATTTTTAATATATATATATATATATATATATATATTACTACTTGCTAACTAATTATATTTTAGTTTTAATTTAATTATAAATTATAATTTTTCAATATAATTTTAGAAAAAAATTTATCATTAAAATATATAATTTTAATTATTTTATTTTATTTTAATGATTTTAACTACTCAATCACATAAATATTTATTTTTATATTTTTTATTTCTAATAAAATTAAAAATATATTTAAATAAAATTTTAATTTATTTAAATATATTAATATTATAATGTACATTATTAATACATTTTTAATTGTTTTATAATGTAATTTTAATATATAATTTTATTTTTATTATGATTTTATTATTATATTTTATTTTTTAATTAATAAAATGATACATGATTTATAATTAATTATCTAAATAATTTAAAATTTATTTTCAAATAATTTTCTGAATAATATTTTTCTAAAATTTTAAAAATACTTTTAAATTTTAATAATTATAAAAAATAAAATTCAAATATTTGTTAAAATATCACAAATTATTTTTATAATTTAAATATAAATTAATTTTAATATATTTAAATTTTTATCTATAATATAAATTAATTAATTTATATTAAAATATATCTCATTCTAATTTATATTTATTTTATTTCTTATCAATATTAGGATATTTTGGTCATTACATATTTTAAATTTTTATTTCAATTTTTTTATTTCAGTCATATTTTCTACCAATTTTCTACTCTTTTCTTTTTACTTTCTACTCATTTTCTCTCAACTCAAATAACCCCATTTTATACTCTTTTCCACTCCCTAATCTAAACACAAGCTAAGAATTTTCATCAAAATTATATAGGAATAATAAAACTAGTCTAGTATTTTTATTTATTATTTTGTTATACATATATTTATGAATATTTTATGATATAATATCCTATTAATAAGAATTATTTTTATATTAAATACTTTATTATGATATACATTCAATGATATATTATAATAATAACGATTTTATTTTACAATATATTATAATAATAACGATTATTAAAACATAGAGTTAACATATACTACAATTTTACTTATTTTGATTCTAGTCACATTGGTTGGCATTTTTTTATATTTAACGTGTAAAAGAATCTGCAACCTCTATTCTATCACTTAACTGGGCACCGTCCCTTTCACCCAAATTTGACATATTGCGTAATCAATTGGAAGATTTAATGAGTTCTTCAACTAAATCTTCTTTACTCATGCACTTTTCAAAACAACCATCCCTTTCATGTTTTTTTCAACACAGTAAATACTCTTTTCCCATTCATTTTTCAAGTCTTCTCTTTTCAGATTTTTTAGAACTTGAAATGAAAACGAATCAAATGTGTTGTAGGGTTCTATATAGCTAGTATTTGACTTAATTTTTATACCCTGTTGTAAATTAAAGTTAAAATAAAAAATTAAAATTAAAATTAAAATTATTTTATAATTTAAAATTTAATATATTCTAAGTTATTCACTTTTTATAAATTATTTTAAAATTTTACATATAAAAGAATAGGGAAAAAAATAATTTTTTACAAACTTTATTTAGTTTGATTCAAAATTTGAAAGTGATACAAACAAACTAAACTCCCCCACTCAACTTTAATTCTTTCCGTCTCCAGAATTTTGGAGAATTTAAAAGGGAGAAAATTTTCTGGAATAACTAAAATAAATTGTGTTTCTGCACAAAGAAAAACATAAATTTTCTTTAATTTACTAGTTTTATTTAACACCTTTTAAGTATGTAAAAGTAATTGTCTATTTAGCTTACCTTCCCTTCCCTCCACTTATAGATTGAAGTGTATATTCGTTTCCTTTTATTAGTAATATTTCTCTTCATAAAATTGCATTTAACACAATTTCTCCTTTCAACAGAAAACAAAGTCAAGAAGTGTAAATCATCATCAAAAAATTGTCTATTTGATGTTTGAAAAAAATTGGAGTCTCAAAAAATCCTTTCCCATATTCCTATCATATGGTTGTTCGTTCAGTATTTCACTCACAAGTTAATGATAATCTTCTAATATATCATTTGTAGACCTCCCCTTATATTTCGTGTCAGTGACAGTTGAAAAAACTCTAGATTTAAGAATACTCTTACTGTCTTTCTCCATATCATGTTCACATTATTCTTACAACTTGCACTGTGATGCTTAGAAAGAGAGATCTCAAGCCATTGGCACCCTTAGTTTGGCTCATCAGAGTTCCTCTGAGCTGGCTGGGTTACACTAAAAGGAAATATTCTGGAGGGGCTCTCCTCCAACCACCTTTTCTCTGATATTAACAGTTCCACCAATTGAAGAATATCTCCTCCAGGGAGAGATCTAAAAACTGGGAGTCCATACTTCTGCAATTTATGCATCATATCCTCCCTGAAACAAAACAAATGATGTTATAAATTAACTCTTTAAACAGGTAGCTAGCTACATAATGATATTATATCAAAATAGTCACACAACTTTCAGAAGAAATTGTCATATAATTAATTTGTTGCATTGTTTTCCTTTCTTTTGCTGTTATCCATAGCAAAAGGGTGAATTTTTAAAAAACTTATTAGTGTAACCTGTTTTTCGACTGGGAAACAATAAATGATCCTTTGAGCGTGAAAATAAAAGTTGCCATGTCATCCCAAAAGGAACTGCCAGATAAAAACTCAGGCTAGTCCAGTCCTGATAACTTGCGTTCTTTAAAATCATTCACATTCTGGACTGTCTACTCTACTAAGAGTTCAGATGTGTTGGAATCTTCAAAATCAAAAACCGCCTTGTTCTGATAATCAGCAGAAACACCAGATTTTATATTACCTTTCCAAAATTGCAACCAACTTCTGATCCAGCCAAAGAATGTTGGACCATTCCTATATGTTTTATCACTTCCACTAGGAATTTTATCAAGCATAGAGTCACCAACTGGTAAAGAATATGAGTTTTGACAAACTTCATCAACAACCTTCCCACTACACACAGAAAATTTCTGCAACACGTTTGGGGGCCGAGACACATTTTCTTGTCTAGCCTTGTTTTTATCCTCACCATTTAGATTTGGGGTTGCTGCAGATTCCTTCTCATCAATCTTAATATAAGATGTTACTGATTCTACAAATTTGCCCTCAAAAGGTATGGGGGATTCTGAGGGAACCAGACTTACATGAAAATTACCACAACCTAAAGGTGCAAGCTCTACCTGCAGTGTTGATAATAGAAAGCGAGAAAATGTTCCATATCCATAAAACCTTTTACCAAAATACACTTTACGTTTCTTCAACTCTGCTCGAAGATCTACAATTGAGATTCCTTTCGGATATGATCTCAATACACGGAAAATCTGTATTACAACTTCTTTTGGATCAGTGTGTATATCTTCGGAAGGTTTATATATATCCACTTTTTGTGAAGACGAAGACTTCTCAACATCTGAGAACGGTTTTTTAGGAATCACCTTATAATCTCCATACCAAGAACCAAACAAACCATCATGAGGATGGTTAAAATGTTTTCCAAAAAGATTTTCTCCTTTTACTAATGAAGACCATTGCCATATTATAGTTGCTGCACTACAGAGGACACGAGGAGCATTCCTCGAGGTAGCAAGCAATATATTGTAATTATGCATTCTTAACCGGTGTAACATTGCAGCAAAGTCCTTATCAGCAGATATCAAAAAGTGATGTGCAGGCGGAGGATTTTGAGAAACCCAATCCATAACATTCACAAGAAGAAATCTATCGGCGTTGTCCTTTCCACCTGCAACAAAATACTATTATAATTTGAAAAGCTAAAAATGTGGAGGAATAAAACACAAAACTCCTGAAGACATATGGACCGCAAGCTGTAAAACACTTGGATGATTTGCTAATTGACAAATTCTACAACAAAAATGGGAACCAGACCCTACAATTTAAACAAATGAAAAAAATGTATTCAAAAACTGCAGCCAGCAGACATTATCTCAGAAAAGAATAAATTTCATCATACTACTGATTAAGACAATTAAAAAATTCTTTTACTTATTATCTTTAAAACTAAATTTATCTTTAAACTTTTGATTGAAAGTAAATCCTAAAACAGGGAAAAAAATTGTTTAGTCCCAACACATGACACAACTTTTACTCCTTATAGTAAAATTTTGTAATTTGTAGTTCCTACACTCATATTTTAGTAGAGGATTATTCCATGCCATTGATGGGTGGATAAAATATCATTACATTCATGTATTAATTTAGGTTAATTTCATATGTTGTTGCATTAAGGGAACGATTTCATCATGCATTATCGCTGTTTTGGATCATACATGTTGGTTTATGCATTGTTCTTGTAAATAGGTGTTTGGAGGTTTGAATTCATAGTTTGGAGGGAGTTGGTGTCAAGATAGAAAGATTTCAGATCAGTAAGTTTCACAGGTACCTTGTGAAATGTTCCACAACATGTAGATTTGATACCAGAATGCAAAGATCAAGATCAGAGAGTTCCACGGGTGGGTTGTAGATTTTTCCACAACCTGTGGAAATTCAAGACGGTTGTGAGAAGTGATAATTACCTCAACAAGTGGAGCAAACCAATACATTTTAGTTGCAGTGGATTATGTTTCTAAGTGGGTAGAGGCTAGGGCATTTCCATCAAATGATGCCAAAGTAGTGATTTCTTTCGTTAAGAAACACATATTTTCTAGATTTGGGGTGCCTAGAGCAATCATTAGTGATGAAGGTTCACATTTTCATAATAAGACATTCGCATCACTTCTAGGAAAATATGGTGTCAACCATAAGATAGCAACCCCTTACCACCCACAAACTAGTGAACAAGTTGAAATTTCCAATAGAGAATTTTAGAGAAAATTGTGAGTTCATCTAGGAAAGATTGGTCTAGGAAATTAGATGATGTACTTTGGGCTTACCATACAGCTTTTAAAACACTGATTGGAATGTTTCCATATCAATTGGTATATGGGAAATCATGTCATTTACTGGTGGAATTAGAGCATAAGGCATTTTGGGCTATTAAATTCTTGAATTTCAATTTAAAGAATGCAGGTGAAAAGATATTATTGCAATTGGATGAATTGGAGGAATTTAGACTGCAGGCCTATGAAAATGCTAGCATTTATAAAGAAAGAACGAAAAAATGGCATGATAAAAGGATTGTGAATAAAGAGCTTACTCCAGGACAACAGGTGTTGTTATACAATTCTAGGCTCAAACTTTTTCCAGGTAAATTAAAATCTAGATGGTCTGGTCCCTTTATGATTAAGCAAGTATTCCCATTTGGTACAGTTGAAATTTCAACTCTCAATTTAGAAAAAAGTTTTAGAGTAAATGGTCAAAGATTGAAAAGGTATGTTGGTGGTGAGTTTGAAAAATATAAGGCATGTGTTTCATTAACATCACCATGTAACAATCATTCTGATTGACAAAAAAACCAAAAAAAAATATTTAATTTTGGAGAACAGAACTCTAAGACATATTTCACGTTGGGGGTTTCTGTCCTTCTCCTTAGTGCGGCACACCCACCTTGTTCCACACTCCTCTTCCACTCCGTCACTTCACCATGTCAACTCGGATAAAGAGTCGTTGCTCAGGCCGTCGTAAGGTCCACACCGGCACCAGCAACGCAAACCCCACGCCATCTTGACAACGAGCAACTTCGGTCTCTGTTCATGCGGAGCCATCTCCGATATTAGGGACTTCGACTGGAAAACGGTCGCGGTCTTCTTTTCCCTCTGATGACAATGTCCATGGCATTATTTGCGAGAATGAAGAGCAAAAACAGAGAAGAGATCAATTGAATGTTGGGGAATGTTGGTTGGAACTCTTTCGTCAACTTGAACAACCCAGCTTATGAGAGAATTACTATAGAATTTCTTAGCTCGGTGAATGCAGAAATTTTGCAAGGAAAAAAGTGCACAGAGGGGTTGATTAAGTTTAGATTGCATAACACTAATTATACCCTTGATTTAACTGAGTTGAATGCCATTTTCGGGTTTCCTAGTGGAGGTGAGAGAAGATATCCTCGTGCTTTTAATGAACATTCCTTTTGGCACCAATTATCTACCTCCGCTAACTTTGTTTCCTCAGAGTCTAAAGAGTCTCATATTCATCATCCTTGTTTTTGGTATGCTCACCGATTGTTAGCTCATACTTTATTTGCTTGGGGTGATAGTATTGCTGCTGTTAGGAAATCAGAATTATTATTCTTATGGGGGATGGTCAACGATGTTCAACTGGATTTAGGTTCATGGTTAGATGCTCAATTCACTAAGATAGGAAAAACTTCATCAGGACAAATAGCAATTGGTGGATTGATAACTCCAATGGCATTACATCTTAACATTCCTTTGGAAGATGATAAGACAATAGTTGGGACATCTTGCATTGATTTAGAGATGATGATAAATAACGAAATGTTGGTCAAACGAGATGATCACTATTGTTTAGTAATGAATTCTGTTGAAGGCATGTCACCACAACCACTTCTTAATCCAGAATTTACTACTGTGCGTGGTCTAGCGAGGTGGACATTTTCAGATTTGAATTCCCACAATACCTCTCACTCTCGCCCTAATCCACCCTCGACACTTCCTTTTGTTCCCCTTGATTCTCATGCTGAGGGGGTTACTCGCATCACTCAATCACTTGCTGATCTCCGCACTCAACACCAACGCCATTACACCTAATTCGTGCAGTTTCGGGATTCCCAACTTCTTCATCAACAACGCGTGGAACAATTGCTCCAAGAGGTGATGGAATTCCTCCGCTCCAACCAACCATAATTTTATGAGTTTTATCCCTTCTAGTCTTAGTTATTTTGCTTATGTTGGGGACAACATAAACATTTAAGCTTGGGAGGGTCAATTGCATGTCATTCTGTTTGTTACATTTGCATAGCATATACATTGAATTGAGAATTCATTATCTTAACTAAAGTCTTAAGTTTGTTCAGTGATATTTTGTGAAGCATAATGTGGTTATCTGTTCATGATTATTTGTTGGGAAACTTCACACACTACACAAGAAGTCTGGACACTATGACAGTTAAGGAAGAAAATTTTTGAGTGATAGAGTAAAAAGGATATGAAAGTTTTTTATTTTTTTTTTAGGTTTCTATGGTGACACTCACTACATTTGGTTATTGGAGAATTGTCTGTTAGTTTCACAATAATGTAAAGTAAAAAAATAAAAATAAATAAATAAATAAATTATTAACAACATAATAAGTGAAATGACACCCCTTTGAGATTGTGTGAGTTACTGGGGAAAGAGGCACTCCTTTGAGACTGGGTGTGGCAAGTGCAAAGCATTTGAGTGGAAGATCCATGTTTAGTTGGCGGGTAATTGTCTTCTAGACCAGAACCTAAGAAAAAATTTTGTAAAGAGAAAATAAAGCTCAAAGATTGTCTTCCTTGATGTCTTGTGCCTTACATCCTTTCCTCAACTCACTTAGGGACCCAACAATTATGGAATGTATACTTTTGGAATATCATTGATTGAATTTGAATTTGAGACAAGACGATGTATTCCTAATAAAAAACACTCATCATTTTATTTATATTATCGTCCTGCTTTTATTAAATTCTCTTTGCTTGAGGACAAGCAAAAGTCTAAGCTTGGGAGAATTTGATGAGTGGATAAAATATCATTACATTCATGCATTAATTTAGGTTAATTTCATATGTTGTTACATTATGGGAACAATTTCATCATGCATTATCGTTGTTTTGGATCATACATGTTGGTTTGTGCATTGTTCTTGTAAATAGTTGTTTGGAGGTTTGAATCCATAGTTTGGAGGGAGTTGGTGTCAAGATAGAAAGATTTTAGATCAGCAAGTTCCACAGGTACCTTGTGAAATGTTCCACAACCTGTGGATTTGATACCAGAATGCAAAGATCAAGATCAGAAAGCTCCACAGGTTGATTGTGGATTTTTCCACAGCCTGTGAATTAGACTCCAAAAGATTGCACAAAGTCAGAGAGCTCCATAGGTGAGTTATGGATATTTCCACAACCTGTGGATTTGTGGTTCAGAATGCACAGTTGAAGTCAGAGAGTTTCACAGGTGGGTTGTGGATTTTTCCACAACCTGTGGAAATTCAAGACGGTTATGAGAAGTGGTAACTACCTCAACAAGTGGAGAAAAAACGTGAGACACCCTATAAAGAAGGGGAACGAAACTGAAAAAAGGGGACAGGACAACCATTCTGAATGTTTACGTTTTAGTTATTATCTTTTGGCAATTTTTACATTATGCAGGACTGATTTTCTTTTTTGTTAGAGGATTGATGTAGTACTCTGAATTATATTTTCTTGTTCTTGACAATTGATGTTTAGTTAATGTTCTTTATCTCAGAGTTCTATTTATAATTTTCAAGTTCATTCCACGAGCAGTTTCACAATTGGGAGATTGGAGGTTGTTCGTGATTCTAAATATAACAGGTTAGGGTTTGTCACAATTGGGAAATTGGGCATATATCTAATTAGTTTGCAATAGAGAAGATTATTGTTTTTTCATGATTCTATTGAATGGCGTAACTGACCTAAGGGATTGGGGGTTCGGATTCAATGAATAGTTTTGCCTATTAAGGGATTAGGAGTAAAACAACTTTGGGTAAACTCAAGTGGATCATTACATTTCTTGCATCAATTGAAAGGACTGGAATTATATAGGAAAGGGTATGAAATCAATTCTCTAACAGATCTTATTTTGACTAAAGTTCTTATTATAATTCTGTGTTTGTTTGTTTTTTCCAAATTTTCAATTGCTCAAACTTACGTAAATTAGGAATTTAGTATTCACAAATTCAATCCCAGAGGATGATATTTTATTACTACGTTAACGATTAATGCACTTGTCAAACGTTCATCAGCCATTAACTCCAACATTGGCAAAAGAGGTTGAATATCAACATTTGGCCTTATAAATGTATCCAGTTTAGGAGTTATTAGTTCACGACGGAGGAAGTCTTTGGTCATCAGAACTAGAGTTATGCACTCGCTTCCCAACAATGATTGAAAATAATTGTCTATGTACATTAAAAGATGACCCATGATAAGTGTCAAGAGAGGGAGACATGGATGGAGGAAGTCCCCCAACAACAATGGTTGAAATTGCTCATTGTCTTCTTCTAAATTCTTCTTAAATAAGTAGTTAAGATGTCTGCAATCAAATTTCATTAAATAATTATTTTATAAGTACTACTACTTTATATATGTACTTTAATGGCTGGAAGCAATCAAGACTACGAGAAAGGTGAACTAGATGCAAAATCAACAGTTGCCATAGACTGGTTAGCAAGATTGAAAGAAATTTCCTGAGGTGCTAACTTGGTCCTGTGAAGTATTCGTGCTACAGCAAGACATTGGATCAGAACTACGTAATCGAAGATATTAGGGTGTTTGCGGACAGAGAAGGTGTAGAGAAGTAAATTCACATAGATCTGAGGTGCTCATTAATGCAACTATTTCCAACCATTGCTGAGCGGTGAGTGCGTGAGTTTTGACAGTGATAATGATGAGTGGCTCAAATTAACGACGTTAAGGAAGAATACAACAGAAAAGACCACTCCGTATTATAAAATATAATACAGGAGCTAAAACTTTAATTCTTTTTCTTCATAAAGGGACTAATTCCTAATTCCTATATACTACAACGGCAAAATTCTTTCTCAACTCAATGTCACATCATTACCAGCCACATCATAACAAAGTTAATAGTAACATGTTTATAAAACCTTCTCTACAAGTACTTAGGATAGAAAAATATGAAGGAATTCCATAAATTAAAATTAACTTATTAATGAGCTAATATATACAAATTAAATCCTACAAGCTTCTTTAAAATTGGATTAAGTTTCCCCCAAACAAACCCATAATCCAAAACTAAAATGCAAGTTGAAGGACTAACCTTAAAATAATATTAGATATACCACACAGCTGAAACGCACGTGTATAGACTAAAAACTATAAAATATCTGAATAGTAACTAAAGATAAAACTATTATTATAGAGACAAAAAGAACACAATCAAACAAAAAAAAAAACTGCCTGATCTAAAGAATTATGGATTATCATAAACTAAAAAGTAAAATAAAAATAACTACATTACACAATCTAAGGCTTTAAAGTTTAAAGTTTAACTGTGAACCAATTAGAGACGATATTGAGATGATTTCTGAAGCTAACAAAGTTAAATGAGGAAAGGAGTTAAAGAAGATGAAAGAAGAGAAACCCGGATTGTGGGTAAAATCGATGCCGGTGTGAGAAAGTGCTTCTCGGTTGGATTTTGAGAGCTGCATAACATCGCCGAAAGCGTTGATTCGGAGAGGGCCCTTAATTCCGCTCGCTCTCACGGCCTTCGTGATTGCTGGCGCCACATCCCAAACGTCAACCCCAACCGGCACCTGGCAGTTCTCGAAATCCCACCACACCGAAATCTTGATGTCTCGATACTCGTAGCACAACTCACGCCTCTGGACCCCAGCCACCAACATCTGCTTCGTTTGGAGAAGCGGTCTCATCGCACGCCGGGATCGCCAGTATCAAAGATGAAATGCTTCCAGTGTTGCGGTTAGTTTGTTAGGTACCCATCTGCGAGACGGAAGGGTTTAAGACCCTGAAACCCTGCATTTTCCAAATCACACTGCCTTTGGTTGGGTTGGGCTCATCAATGACACGGTCCACAACTGAACCGAATGTCCGACTCTTTTTCAAACGCAAAAGTAAAAGTTCAAATGTTGAAAATTTTCAGACAGTTTACATGTCGAATTTTTACTTATTTTTTTTTACACAGACAAGATCTGGCTTCAGATAATTATTTTAAAAATTTTAAATAATATAAAAAATTATTTTAAAATTCAATTATTTAAATAAATAATATAATTTAATATTGAATTTCCGCGTATCATTTGTCTTTCTAAAATAATGCAACCTAACAAAAAAAATCATTTAACTTTTGATATAAATATTTTTTATAATTTTTTTATTATATTTTAATTTATATTTTTAAATTATCTGTGGCCAAATTTTTTATATTTATTTGAAAATTATTTAATATAACATTTTTAAAATATAATTAATCTTTTAAATTCATATTTATTTATTTATTTTACTTTAAAAAATCAATTTTGTTAAAGATCTTAAACAAAGTTTTAAAAATTTTATCTATTTGATTTTTTAATTATTTATTTACTATTTTATATACATTTTTCAAATTAGTAAAATATAATTATCTATGAATGTTTCTCTAGATTTATGAAAAAAAGTGTAAAAATAATTTAATCAAACTATTTATTAGAATAAAGTTTTTATTATTATAATAAATAAAGTAGTTGTTTTTAAATTATTATCTTTTATATATATATATATATATATATATTATATTTTATTAAAAAATAATTTTAAAACAAAATATCAAGTAATTGAAAGCAAATACATTATGTTCTTTGCAACAATCTCCAGTTAATTTTTTAAATTGGTCATTAAATTAATAAACACGGATTCAAAGTTTAAATTTTTTATAATATAATAAATATAATAGTAACAATATTCTTAAAAAAATAATAAAGGTTAATCTCATAATTACTCTAAGTTACTGTAAACCATATAATTATAAAATATATTAAAAAATATAAAATAAATAATCATTAAAATAAGATAAAAATATAATAAAATAATTATTATTTAAAATGATATAATTAATAAGATAAAAAATGAACATAAAATAAAATATATTATATATTTTATAAAAACGGAGAACGGTGATAAACTACTTCTCCCATATCCTCACTATTTAGATAGCCAAGCTTCATAGATTGTGAAGTCAGCATATCCTTCCCGATGAATAACATATCATTAACATATAGTTGTTTGACAAATGATATCTAGAGGGGGTGAATAGATGCACAAATTAAAATAGATGTCAAATTAAAAATTTATTTGTGAGTCAATAATTTATTTGAACACAAATAAAGCGGAAACGATAATATAATCAGGAAAAGAGAAAGAGATAAGGGAAAGAAAAGAGTATACAATGATTTATACTGGTTCGGGTATAGCCAACCCTACATCCAGTTCACAGTCAACTCTTAACACAAGAATGACTCTCAATTCACTATCTTTCAAATTCAGTTTACAAATTATAATCAACTCAGCAGAAGAACCAGTAAAAAGAAAACTAATTAAAAAGACAATCACCTCCTTAGAAACCCACTAAGGATGAACACCTCCCTAGAATCCCACTAGAGATGAACACCTCCTCTAAACAAATCAAAGGATGAAAAACACCTCCTTAGAATCCCACTAAGGATGAACACCTCCCTAGAATCACATAGGGATGGAAACTACCTCCTTTGCCACCAATACACAAAGGATGAAGGTAATAAAAATTAGAACAGTCACACATGGGTAATGGAAACAACAAATTATAGAAGCCTGTAGAATGTCAATCTCCAAGAATAAGTATGATTAACAATAAGCGCACAGAAGGCAGTAGAGAAGAGGGTTTTCTCAGAAGGTGTAAAATATCTCTGTTGTCTTGCTCATAATTCTTTTCTCAAAACTGATTGAATGTAAATTATATTTTTGAATTTTGTAATTGTGTGTTTTTTATTTTTCATAAAACTTAATTAAATAGAAAAATAGCATCGAGAAAATGACCGTTGGACATTAATATTTTCATGAATAAAAATCAGGATATATTTAAAAACATTTATTCTTCAAAACATATATATTTTTCAAATTTGAATTGTCATAATTGATTATGTTACCAGGTATAATCAATTATGACAGATGAAAAATATCATGTTATGAATTTATCACACTTGTGCTTTGGAGGCTTATGCATAATATTACTTCATCAACTTGTACCTCCATATCTAGTATTCTAAGACTCTATCTAGTATTCAGGAATCATCTTGGGTTTGCTTGAATCATCATCTTTATCAAAAACATATCTTGAGCATGTAGGAAAATGTTTCATATTTTCACCAACGTCTTAAATTCAGTTTGTCCTTAATTCATCTTGAATGGTGTTGACTTAAATGTAGTTGACTTGAATCATCATCAAAATCATCTTTTGGGAATGTAGGGACATTTCCATCAATCTCCCCCTCATTATTATCAATCTCCCCATTTTTTATGATGATCAAGGAAATATCTGAAATGAATTAAAATGTTTTACTCTATATAGCCAGCTCAAAATTAGCACAAATTTGTATCAAGTATCAGAATTTCTTAATCTCCCCCTGGATATATTAATAACAAAACTCCCCCTAACTCATATGAGCAAAGACTTCTCTTAAATCCCCTTGTTTAATTTAGAGATAGGAAAGAATTTCACACAGATTTTAATTCATCAAAAAATCTCCCCCTGTTTCATTGATAATCATAAAAAATATTATAAGAGAAAAAAATTCTCCCCCTGTTTCACACAGATTAATATCATCAAAATATCTCCCTGTTTCATTGATAATTATGAAAAATATTATAAGAGAAAAAAAATCTCTCCTTGTTTCACACATATTAATATCATCAAAATATCTTCCTGTTTCATTGATAATTATGAAAAATATTGCAATAGAAACTGAGAACAAATTTGCACGTATTAGTACATAAATCAAGGTAGAGAAGATAATGTATTACAAGGATTTCAGGACTCATTTCAAGGATCATCCTCTCGTGGTAAAGTGTTTGCTCTAATCTCTCAAGTGTTTATGCTGAAAATTTCACTCATCATCACATCATGATATCATCCTTTACCATAGGCTTGAAAGATCTCTAAATTTTTACCATTAAAACACATAGCTTCTTAGATCAATTTAATTTTTACTTGACTTGTAATGGGGTTAAGGTTCAAGATAGGTTATTTTAGGAAAGTGGGCTAAAACTTTAGGAAAATAAAGAACATGAATCAATGTACTGCGAAATTTTGTTCCAGTTGCATCTTTTTGTTTTGTCACCTTTATATTATAGTGTCTTTTGAACTCTTTTATTGCTTTGACACACACAAACAAAAATGATTCTTTTTTCTTCCTTTTCTTGATATTTTTGGCACTTCTCCTTTTTCTGGAATTGTTGATAGTGAGTAAAACTATATTTTTGTGATAATTTCATGCTTCTTACTTCCCTTTAAGTTTAGATGTGGGTAGTTTTTGGGTTGGAAAAACTTTAATTCTCAGGTTTAAATCCAAGAAAAGGATAAGGCTCAAAGGTGGGTTCAAAGGGTAATTTGAGGTAAAGATATGTTATTTGGCTAAGTAGTTAAGACAAAGAAGGCCTAAATCATATCTACTGGTGTATATGATGGTATGATGTCACAGAGAAATCAATCAAGTTCTGGAAGGTTCTCATGTCATGAGTGGCGCACACAAAAAGGAATAACGCTCAAAACTCACTTGGGTGCTTTGTTCACCCTGAAATTAATCCAAATCAACGTTAATGTAACCCGACCATAAATTCTTATGTGAATCAAACCTTTTAAGCTTTGAACTCTTCCTCTTGATCAAGTCGGTTATCTTTTCCAAAGTAGTCTTCCATCAATCTACAACATTATACAACAATTAAAACAAAAATATGAATGAAACATCATGCATGAAATGCAAATACTCTCCACTTTTGAAATCAACATTGTCCTCAATGTGGAGAATTTATGTTATGCAAAAACACATGCAAATGTAAATGAAAACCAACTAAAACAGATTGGGTCCCGGGTCTATCTCCTCAGATGGTACAGGTGTTGAGGTCATCAAGTAGCAACTCTATTTAGCTAAAACAAAAAAGTCTTCTTCTGTAGTAAATTGGAAAGAGGCAATGTCACCTTGTTGAAGTCTCGAATGATTCTCCAATAAAAATCTATCAATCTCTCAGCCGTTTGATTTATGAATGGAAGGGGAAAGTGATCCTTCCGCATATCAATTATCTCACTCTTTTTTGGAACAACTTGGACAGTAGATACCCAAGTGTTACCTGAGATGGGACATATGATGTCAGTCTTCAATAGTTTGGTCACCTCCTTTTTCACCTCATCAAGGATAGTAGGATTCATCCTTCGTTGGGGTTGTCTCACATGTCTGCATTCATCTTCAAGCAAGATTTTGTGCATGCAAATAGTAGGATTGATCTTAGTGAGGGCATCTAAAGACCAACCAATTGCTTTCTTGTACTCTTTCAACATCTTCAACAATCTTCTCTCTTAATCGGGGAAGAGATCACTAGATATGATCACATGTAACTTTTTAGACTCCTCTAAGTAAGCATACTTTGAATGGGACAGTGGTGGTTTCAGATCTAACTCCTCTAGTTGTTGCTGTAGTATACTTACTTCACTTGTTTTAGTAGTTGTATGCGCTCCTACATTTGTACAATCACATTCAGACAACTCTTATTGGCTTAAATTCAGATAATTTAAGGGCTTATCAAGGTCAAAATCAACTCCTAGATCCAGCTCTTCATCCTCTCGGCCTTCAACTAAGCAAGTGTTCGTTAAGAATAAATCTCCCTCACTAAACAAAGATGTCAGAGTTCTTCAGCTTTATTTGAACTTCTTGATCACTTCTCAGAGTAATTGCACGTACATTCTCATTAGGATTAATCACTGTTTGCGAGGGAAGTGCATTCACACCTTGCTACTACTGAATTCAAGGTAGTGGTCAATTGTCCAATTTGGGTTTGCAAGTCATCGAAGCGTTGCTCTAGTTGTGTGTTATGCGTTATCATTTGTTGTGTAAGTTGCATCATCAGATCTTCTAGTACAACCCATAGTTATCTTGTTACATAGTACCACTTGGACTTTGATATATTGGCATAAGGTGTGAATTCGCCTGTTGTCCCAGTGAGGGAGGTGGATACTCCTGTTGTTGGTAAATGCCTTAGCTTATTGATTGGAAATGAATCTTTGGTGGTTGGTTGAAGACAAGATCATATTTCAAGTTTGGATGGTCTCTCCAGCCAGAATTATATGTGGCTAAGTACGTGTTGTACTCCTGTTGTGAACTGTATGAATTTAATTGTCTGTAATGTTGTTGTTCAGGAAATATATTGTCCACTGTTTCCCTAATTAAGCTTGGTGTCTCCTGAAGTTGAGGGCATACATAAGTGGGATGATCTATGGAGGTGCATATCCCACATACATATTTGCTGCTGAAACGTGTGTTGGTTTATGGTTAATTGTCGTACCACAGATGTTAGCTCATCCAATATTCTTTCAAAGTTCATATCCTCAAAATCACTTGTTTACTAGAACGACAATTGTACACCGTGAACAAGTGCACAAAGTAGATTCCAAAAAAAAAGAGATGGGTCACTAATAGACACATTTAAGTACTAAGTCTTTCATAGTCAGTACCCTTCTAGACATGCACTCTCACACTACCAAACTATATCCAAAGTTTCTTATGAAAACGATTTTCAAAAATTTTCTTGCAAAGATGACTTACCAAAAATTTTCCTCCCATAATGGTTAGAGAACACACAAAAATAAATTATAATAACTCTTTTTTTTTAATAAAGCTAGAAAAAGTAATTAGAAGAAAATACAATTTTTGAATTTTTTCAAAAAAGTTTTTTTTTTAATTTTTTTTTAAATAAAGCTAGAAAAACTAATTAGAAGAAAATACAAATTTTGAGTTTTTTCAAAAGAGTTTTTTTTTTTAATTTTTTTAAATTAAAGCTAGGAAAAGAAATTGGTATTAAGCAATATTACGCAATACAATTGTGTTCCCAACAATGTCGCCATTTGATGACAACTTTTTAGTCGCACAAAATACTCTTATAGGACACAATTATAGGAACACACTTGTTACCCCATATCATTATCTCTAAAACAAGTAAATAAGGTATGAATGACAAAATAAAAAAGAAATAAATTAATGCAGAATAATAAAAATTTAAAACCAAACTCGCTAAAAAATATTAATGACAATTAATATTTAATGAAAACAGAAATTAAATAACTAAAATTTAAAAAATCAAAATAAAATATTTTTGATTAAAAGTGCAAGAATTAAGAATTACTTTAAAATAAAACAATCCAAGTAAAATTTTTTGAAAGTTATAACTCTAAAACTAAATTACAAATTGGAATTAGAAAAACGATGAATTGAAAATGAAAATAAAATAGAATAGGAATAAAAAAATCTAAACAATTAAATAATAAAAATTAAAATAATACTAAAAAAATAAAGTAAATAAAATAATGTAAACTAGAAAATTCAATAGAAATTGTAAATTAAATAAAAAAGAACAATCGAAATACGATAGCGAGTAGATGACTCGACCTAACTAAAAACTAAACTAAAAATTGAGAATAAGAAAAGGAAATAGATATGAGACAAATGCTCAATTCTCACCCCAAACCGTGCGATTATGATTGTGGATTATCGTAAAACCTCTATTTATAGAGATTTGAACAAGAGAATTTAAACATAAAATTAATTACAATAAAATCAAATATTTCTAAAATAAATGATTGCAACATCAGATTGTCGTGAAAAGATATTTCTAGGACTGATTTGGAGAAAATAATCAATAATTCAACACTGATTTGTATTTCAATTCTTGATTATTGTTGGCTTCAGCTGAATTAGATTCTCACACCAGTTAATTTACTTGATTCAAAATTTTCATTTGTAACATTCTGCTAATGAACTACATAAGCAAGAAGAATGAAGTTTGACGACATCAATTTAGATATTTCTTTCCATCAATTTAACTCATCTCAAATTACCTCCCCTACAAAAGAAAAATAAATATGTCTATGAATGTATACATGTATATTATTTATTATGCTAAAACTATATAAAATACAATAAATTAAGAAAAAATAAATTATGTTATGTTTTTAATAAAAACATGTTAAATGCATGATTTATAAATAAAATAATTAGCTTTAAAAATAATTTTAGATAAAAAAAAATAAAGAGTAAAATGTCGAACAACAAAGATGATTTTGCTTTTTCACATCATGTTCAAATGAATTTGGCAACTTGAACTGTGATTCTCTGATCATAAGGAGAGATCTAAAACCATTTACACCATGGGAGGGGATCTCCACCAGCCACTTTTTCTCGGCTATTAACAATTCCACCAATGGAATGATATCTTTTTGAGTGAGAGACCTAAGAATCATGGGTCCATCATCTTGTAATTTATGTGTCATCCTCCCTGATACAAGTAATGTTGCAAGATGATTTAAAGCTACATAATGATCATCAATTCATCATAAAATATCAAAATGGTCACACAACTTTCAACAGAAATTTCATTATATAATCAATTTGTTAGAGCAACGAATTAACAGAGGTCAAAAGTTGGTGGTTATCCAATATCAATAATAGAAGGGATCTTTTAAAGATTGGTACAAAACTATCACGCATACTAACCTGTTTTTTGACTGCGAAATAAGAAGTGATCCTTTGGGCATGAAAATAAAAGATTCCAAATCATTCCAAAATGAACCACTAGAAAACAATTCAGGCTGCCGATAATGAACAACATTCTGGTCCAGCTCTGATAAGGCGGGTTCTTCAAATTGACTAACAGTCTGGTCCACTTCAGCTTTTGAATCCTCCAAGTGACTCTCCACCTTGTTCTGCTGAGCAGCTAAATCATCAGATTTTGCATTGCTTTTCCAAAATGGACACCAACTTCTAATCCAACTAAAGAATGTTGGCCTTCTGTTATAAGTGTCAGCAATTCCACTGTGTGTTCTATCAATCAGAGAGTCATCAACTGGTGAAGAATATGGGCTGAAACAAACTTCGGCAGCCACCTTTCTAGTTGGACTCTCATGTTTGTTCCTTGCTTTAAAATTTCCCAATTCATAATTTCCAGTACCATTGTCTTCCATGGTTGTGTTATCATTGCCAGCATAGGGATTCCCTGAAGTGGTATGTTTTTCTATAGTTTTATGACTTGCATCCTCAGATTTAACATTGCCAATGTCAGATGACCTTTTAGATTTAGCTTTTAATGAACTTGTCTTACTTTTGGAAAATTTGTTTTTCTTGGGTGGCTGTTGAATCTCAAGTTGCTGTGCATTAGCCAGATCCGCAACCTTCTCACTAGACAGCAAAGATTTCTCCAAGTCATTTTGGGTCTGAAATTCATGTCCTTTGACTAATGAAGGAAATACCAATTTACCATACACACATTCCCCAACAATGTTGGTTTGGAAAGGGACATGTTGGAATGATTTTGAGTCATCATTCATACTCCTTGCATGGATGTTGGCAGTTGAGGGAGTCTCGTCTGCATCTACCCTCTCGTTGTTCTTAACAACAGATGATGTTGATGGGACAACACTGCTGTCAAAAGGATCAGGGGACTCTGAGGGGGCCAAACATACACAAAAATTATCATTCCCTAAAGGCTGCAGCTGTATGTGTGGCATTGCTAATAGAAAGCATGAAAAGCTTCTAAATCCATAAAAACTTGTATCCAAAGGCACATCACATTTTACCAACTCCCCACAAAAATCTGTTATGGAGATCCCTTTTGGATGTAAATTTAATATATGCTTAATTTGTCTTACAACTGACATTGGAACTGCACCTAACTTTAAGTCCAAGGAAGGTTCAGAGATCTCCACATTTTGTAAAGATGTAGGCTGCTCAGCAGCTAGGAATGGGTTTTCAAGTGGCACCTTAAGATTTCCGTACCAAGAACCAAATGGACCATCAGGAGGATGGTTGAATCGTTTACCAATAAGTTTTTCTCCCTTAAGCAATGAAGACCATTGCCACATTACAGTTGCTGCCCTGAAGAGAACACTAGGAGCATTCCTTGGGCTAGCCAGCAAGATATTGTAATTATTCATTCTTAACCGGTGTAATATGGAAGCAAAACCTTTATCACCAGATATCAGAAAGAGATGTACAGGTGGAGGATTTTGGATAACCCAAAACATGATATCAACAAGAATATCCTTTCCACCTGTAGGAAATTACAAATATTATGATTTGAAAAGCTAAAAAGTAGATGAATGAACCATATAATACTAAAGATATATGGAAGTAAAACATTTACAATGATTTACTAGCTGCAAATCCATATCAAAATTATGAATCGATGAATCTGTATTGGAGTAATAAGAATCAAGCCTGCATAAAACAAAGACACTTACACTTAAATCTGCAACCACCAGGATTTTGGTAAAAGACACGTAACATCGCAACAGCCATATGCAATTACAAAAGGAATTTTCCATTGCCTTTCAAATCAAAACTCATCTTTAACTTTTTATAGGAACAAAATCCCAAAACAAAATAATAAGAGCATGCTTGATTCCCGTCTCACTTTTTGTTTCAAAAAGTGTCTTCTAAAACCAATTCCACACTACTCAACGATAAATTTTTCATCCAAAATCTCGTAAGTTTTGAAAATTGTTTCTAAAACAATTGTTTTTAAAAAGCAGAAACCACTGAGAAATGTGTTCTCTTGTTCTTCTTCTGTTTTTATCTTGTTCAACCTCTCCTTCAATTCCAGTCTCTTCTTATGTGCCGCATACCACCCTCACCACCAACGGTCGAACAACTTGATTTAGTTCCAATTCAAAAACTAAAAACAGTTTTAAAGAGAGAAACTAAATACACCTTGAGCACCTTGCTGGTAAACTTTCTCTGATTTTTCGTTAAGAAAAAAATTCATGTCTCATACAAAAAGAAGAAAATAAATCACACTTTAATCTGTCTATAGTCTAAGGTTCGACTACATCAAATTTTAGCTGAGGAAACAAAAAAAACAAACCGTTAAAAATGTGGATGAATTCAATGCCGGTGGAAGCAAGTGCATTCATGTCGGGCTTGGGGAGAACATTAACGTTGCCGAAAGCGGTAATGTGAAGCGGACCTTTGATGCCGTTGGCCCTCACGGCCTTCACGATTGCGGGGCCAACCTTGGAAGCATCTACGTCATCTGGCACGGTGCAGCTCTTGAAATCCCACCACACCGAAACCCTCACGTCTCGAGAGTGATGAGGAGTAGACGAAGATGAGAACGCGCACGCTTGAAGCTGAAGCAGAAGCGTGGGAGCTGGGGAACGTGAGAAATGGAAGAGGTGGTTTCGGAGAAGGGCCATCATCGGTTGGATTAGAATGTGAAGAAGAGGGTAACTGTTAGGTGTTTTCTTCCTTAATTGATTGCTAAGGGAACCCTAACTCATCATATATAGATAGTGTAATCTTTGAGATGTGCTGGAGTGGAGGTGATCCTTTTGGGCCTTCAATTAGTCAGAGCAGTGTAGTAACGATGTGATCCTCTGTTTTTCATTCTTCGGGTTTGGGCAAATCTGATCCTCTCTACCAAATTTTGTCTACAGACACTATACAACCAAATAGTACGTACAGTTTGAGAAAAAAATTAAAGAAATCTGTCAGTGATTCAGACCTGGCTGCAAATAATTTGATGTGGTGGATGAAGCAGAGGATTAGAAGGGTTATTTTTAAGTCATGTTGATAGCAAATACAAATATTAATTTTATACTCATTTAAGCTCTATCTATTAATTGAGAGGATTCATTTATCTAACCATTTATTGATTTTTTTTATATTTCAATTATTAGTAGCTATTTTTATTATAATATTTTTTAATTATATTAATTATTTTTTATTATCATAAAAAAAAACATACAGGTGATGCATCCTGTATTTTCATTAGTTATGCATATTTTGTTTTAACTTTTAAGGTAATCATTATAAAAATTAAACCATTATCATAATTTTTTGTTAAATAATAATATTAAAAGCATTAATGTTAATAGTACTACTAATCATATTCAAGAAAATTTTACCATATATATAAAGACTATATTATATTATATATAATTATACATATACAGTTTTTTAATATTTAAATATTAATATATATGGTGTAACATTTTTCCCATTATGCCTTATTTTAGATTCAAATATTTTCGTATGTAAAATTTACATAATAAATGGTAATGAATTTTAAAGATTAAATTATATTTCTTGTCTAATTTCAACATTTAATATATTTAGATAACTATTTAAAAAAATTTAAATATAAAATTTGTTGAAGATCAAAATAGAGTCAAAACAATTTGAGTTTACATCTTTATTATTGTAATAGTAAATGAACAAATAAATTTTAAGTTTGTATAAGAATTGTAAATAAAAATATATATATTTACAATGTCAAGTTTATTTTATTCTTACGTAATATAGTGTATGACTTATTTATTATTAATATATTGTAAGATATTTTAGTTAAATAGGTTAGTTAAAACTCATTTGTTTTTCATGGTCAATAAGATATATTAACGATGATCATAAGAAAATTGGAGCACCTAAAATGTGTATGTAAATATTAGTGGATCTTGGGATCTCGATGATTATTGTAGTCCATAATCATAGATGACAACTGCTAATTCTTAAATTCATGAGGTATTATACAAAATGAAGATGCAAGTTGAAGAAAAACTAAATAAGATATAATAATTCTTGTACCAAGAGTTTAATGACAAGTTTGAATTTCTTACTCGTTTTCAACAACATACTTAAGGAATATCTTATATAGTTCAAGATAATATTGTTTGAGATATCACTAAAGAAGTTGTGTTATTATTGTTGTAGGAGAACATACTTACACTCATGTATTAATCTAATGTGAGAAATGTTGTGATGGAGCATCAAGGAAGAAAAACATTTTTATTGTTTATGTAAATAGATGCTTAAATTATCTTTTCACGCAATTTTGGAAAATATACTTGAACTGGGGAACTCATTTATATGAGACTCATTGATATGAAGTGCTTGTAAATAGTAATTCATTAGATGATTTTTCAATTTTTTACGAGGTTCTAGGAGATATAACTATCGAGTTTTCTCGTATTATTAAATCACATGAATTTAATAATTTTTTACAGTGAATAAAATACTTATTTTTAAATTATTATCTTTTAAATATATATATATATATATATTATTAAAAAATAATTTTAAAATAAAATGTCAGGTAATTGAAAGCAAATACAGTATGTTCTTTGCAACAATCTCCAATTAATTTTTTAAATTGGTCATTAAATTAATAAACACGGATTCAAAGTTTAAATTTTTTATAATATAATAAATATAATAGTAACAATATTCTTAAAAAAAATAATAAAGGTTAGTCTCATAATTACTCTAAGTTACTGTCAACCATATAATTATAAAATATATTAAAAATATAAAATAAATAATTATTATTTAAAGTGATATAATTAATATAAGATAAAAAATGAACATAAAATAAAATATATTATATATTTTATAAAAAATTATATTAAAAATTTGATTTTAATTTTTTTTATTAAAAATGGTTGGATCCAAAAATTCAATCAATTTTTAATTTTATTCTAATTTTTTAATTTTATCACTATTTAATTAAAATTGAATGATTTAAAAATAATAAATCAATTTTTAGACTGATGTTCTGTTAGATAGATTGAATCAACCAATCCCATTTGCGCCTCCAGTGGAATTCACACAATAATTAATTAAGAATATGTTCCTCTCGAGAGAACATGATGCGACCTTTCCATAAAAATAACCTATTCTTCATTGTTGCGAACTCACCATACACTAATCATAGATGTCTTTTAACCTAGCATCTTTTTAGCTAATTTAACCACGGTATTAAACCATCGACTTGTTGGTTCTAATAAGCAGTTTACACTGAATTTTAAAATCAAAACTCAAGTTGTTGCTCCAGGGTCTGCCTATTCAAATAATTTCTTTTAAATTCTTCTGATTCGTTTTAATAATCAATTTATGGTCCTAAATTTGTCAATTCATCAGTAGTATAACAAAACTCACATGTGTATGTTTTCACATTCTCAATGACAATTTCTTGGAAAAATAAGTTATGGGATGATTATCTTGATTTAAAATTGCTCGGAGTAAAAGTATTAGCGATGGCCAGAACATGTGGTATAATTAGTGAAAGCAACGAGGGAGACATAGATGAAAATTTCTCTACATTTTTAAGAGATGATTTTGATGATGATTCAATTAAATTATATTCAAGTCAACATCATTCAAGATGAATTAATAACAAACTGAATTTAAGACGTTGGTGAAAATGTGAAATATTTTCCTAAATGCCCAAGATATGTTTTTGATAAAGATGATGATTCAAGCAAGCCCAAGATGATTCCTGAAGACTAGATAGAGTCTTAGAATACTCGATATGAAGGTACAAGTTGATGAAATAATATTATGCATAAGCCTCCAAAGCACAAGTGTGATAAAATTTATAATGTGATATTTTTTACTGTCATAATCAATTATGCCAATTCAAATTTGAAAAATATATCTGTTTTGAAGAAAAAATATTTTTTAATATATCCTGATTTTTATTCACAACAATATTAATGTCCAACGGCCATTTTCTGATGTTATTTTTTTTATTTAATTAAGTTTTGATGAAAAATCAAAGACACACAATTACAGAATTCGAAAATACAATTTACATTCAATCAGTTTTGAGAAAAGAATTCTGAGCAAGGAAACAGAGATATTTTACACCTTCTGAGAAAATCCTATTCTCTACTATCTTCTGTGTTTTCATTGTTAATCACACTTGTTCTTGGAGATTGACATTTTACAGGCTTCTACAATTTGTTGTCTCCATTACCTAGGTGTGACTTTCTTATTTTTATTACCTTCATCCTCTGTGTATTGGTAGCAAAGGAGATACTTTTCATCCCTACCTACGGATTTCTTTCCGTAGGAAATCCGTATGTAATTTTATTACCTTCATCCTTTTATGTATTGGTGGCAAAGGAGGTATTTTTCATCCCTACCTACGGATTTCTTTCCGTAAGAAATTCGTATGTAATTCGATCGTAGGTAATTTACCTACGGATGTCTGTATTACCTAGGTGTGACTGTTTCATCCCTACCTACGGATTTCTTTCCATAGAAAATCCGTATGTAATCCGGTCGTAGGTAATTTACCTACGGATGTCTCCATTACCTAGGTATGACTGTTTCATCCCTACCTACGGATTTCTTTCCGTAGAAAATCCGTATGTAATCCGGTCGTAGGTAATTTACCTACGGATTTTTTTTCGTAGGTAATTTACTTACAGATTATAATTCATAGATAATGCACTCTCTTGAACAAAATATTTTTATTTACTACAACCCCTTATTTTTTATTATTACCTAGGACCCCCTCCCCTTTATATTATATTGTTATTATTTATTATATTTTTGCCTCAGAGTTGGAGGTCGATACTCCAACCACTAAGCTATTAGGATATTTTGATAATAACTTACAAATAAATTATATTTATATTTATCTGTGTAAATATATAAATATATAAATATATCAAATATAAAATATATAAATATAAAATATATAAATATAAAATATATAAATATATAAATATATAAATACAAAATATATAAATACAAATATATTTATATTTTGATATATTTATATATTTATACGAATAAATATAAATATAATTTATTTGTAAGTTATTATTAGAATATCCTAATAGCTTAGTGATTGAAGTATCAATTTTCAATTTTAAGGTACTTGGGTTTGATTCTTGCTAGTGACAATTCTTTTAATTTAATATAATTTACCTACGGATAGTAATTTCATAGATAATTACCTACGGATAATATCCGTAGATAATGGATAATTACCCACGGATAGAATTCCGTAGATAATGTACAATTTACCTACGGATAGTAATTCCGTAGGTAATTACCTACGGATAATATCGGTAGGTAATGGATAATTACCCACGGATAGAATTCCGTAGGTAATGTACAATTTACCTACGAATTTTTATCCATAGGTAATATTTTGTAGATAATAGACTTTTTTTTGTAGTGTTATTAAGATTCTAAGGAGGTGTTTTTCATCCTTTGATTTATTTAGAGGAGGTGTTCATCCCTAGTGAAATTCTAGGGAGATGTTCATCCTTAGTGGGTTTCTAAGGAGATGATTGTCTTTTTAATTAGTTTATTTTTTATTGGTTTTTCTACTGAGTTGATTGTAATTTATAAACTGAATTTGAAAGATAGTGAATTGGGAATCACTTTTGTGATAAGAGTTGACTGAGAACTGGATCTAAGGTTGGTTATACCCGAACCAGTATAAATCATTTTGTATTTTTCTCTTTCTCTTATCTCTTTCTCTTTTCCTGATTATATTATCGCTTTCGTTTTATTTATATTCAAACAAATTATTGACTCACAAATAAATTTTTAATTTAACATCTATTTTAATTTGTGCATCTATTCACCCTCTCTAAATGTCATTTATCTAACAATTAGTGTTTCTTTTCAACTATATGAAAACATTGGTAGTTACTTTCAGTCTATTTAAAAACATTTTTCTTCAACAAATTTGTTAATGGCGCTACTATTTGTGATACCTGTTTACAAATTATCGATAATAACTTGTAAGATCAAGAAAATCACTTAATTGTTTCAAATCAATTGGTTGGACCAATCTTTTACAGCCTGCCCTTGGTACCATCATAGCAACCCTTAATCCAAAAAGAGTGTGACCGAGGCACTCAATTTCTTTTACTCCAAGAAACATTTGGATAATTGTGCATAATTTGGAGAAACGTCATTGATAATGCAAAAGTAAAAGTTGAAAATTTTCAGACAGTTTACGTGTATAGATTTTGTTTTTTGTTTTTTAAACTTTTCAGACACTTGAAAATTTTGGAGAACAAGATCGGGCTTGAGTTGAATAGATTGAAAAAATATAATTAAATATAGGATAGTTATTTTTTAAAATTTAAATAATATTAATAATTATTAAAAAAGTAAATAATTTAAATAAATAATAAAATTTAATATTAAATTTCCGTGTATCATTTGTTTTTTAAAATAATGCAACCTAATAAAAAATCATTTAATTTTTTATATAAATATTTTTGATATTATCTTTATTATATTTTAATTTCTATTTTTTAAATTAGATGTGGGCAAATTTATTTTTGGATTATTAGTATATTTATTTGAAAATTGTTTAATATAACCTTTTTAAAGTATAGTTCATATTTTAAGTTCATATTTTTTTTACTTTAAAAATCAGTTTTGTGAAAAATCTTAAGCAAAGTTTTAAAAAATTTTAAAATTTTGATTTTTTTAATTATCTATTTACTATTTTGTATAAATTTATCAAATTAGTAAAATATAATATTTATGAATGTTTCTCTAGTTATATATATATATATATATATATATATATATATAAAGAAGAAGTGTAAAAATAATTTACTCAAACTATTTGTTATAATAAATTTATGACCCCAGAGATAATGTCTAAATTTTACCAATATCTTAAAACTCACATATATGCTAACTATTTTTGCATTCTCAATGACAATTTCTTAAAGAAACAAGTTATGAAATTATTACCTTGTCTTAAAACTGTTCCTGTACCCAAAATAGAAGCATTAGAATAAAAGGTGTTGCAAGATTAGGGATGTTCAGAACTCGTATTAGTGCTTATTTTGCTAGTATGAAAACATTAGTGCTTCTTTCAATAGTATGAAAACATTGATAAAAACATCTTTTTTCGACAAATGTTAATGACGTTGCTATTTGTGCGCATACGTTTTTACAAATCATTAATAATAACGTGTAAGACCAAGAAAATCACGCCATTATTTTAAATTAATTGTTTGGGTCAATCTTTTACCGCTTGCACTTTGTTCCTGATAAAAAAAAAGTGTGACCTGACCCAGATAATACTCCAAATGAACGTTTGGAGGACCGCGCATACAATTGATGTTGCTTCAAAATTTGCAACACCACTTTTAAATGGTACAAGTGATATTTTGAGGTATTATAGACTATAATATCATAAAAAAAAAAAACAATAAATTTTCTCAAGACATGTATGAATCGAAGGGTGGAGGTGCTGGAAGATTTCAACGAAGAACAGGGCATATTAGTTACGCCCCTTGTTAAGGTTGCTGGTTTTAGGACTGTGTTTCAAAGGCATACAGATCGTGATCAGGAGAGAAGGATTCTTAAAGAGGAAATGTTTCGATTCTCTCATCAGGTTCCTAATTAGTTGCTGACTGGTCAAGAAGCTCAGAATGCTCCAAAGGGTTGTCGAGAGTTGGATCCAGTCGCTACTCCCTTAGACCTCCTTCAAATAATGACAGAAGCTAACGGGACATCGGATAATGCTTAGGATGTCTGAGGAAGAAACGAGGCCCGGTTCACCTGCTGTGAAATGGGAAAGAGAATGCTTAAAATCCTTGTAGAGCAGAAATGGTAGACGAGGTCCACTTTTTTCCTATTTTGTGATTCATCACTAATTTACATGTAATTCTTAATTTTTCTAGCCTTTAATCCAAGTAAATTAGATTTCAACATTAATTAATTTATTTGATTCAAAATTTTCATATATCATATTTCATAAGTAGGCTGCAAAAACAAACTTGAACTTTTGATAAGAGTGAAGTTCAATTATATCAATTTGGGTATTTATTTTTATCAATTTGACCTATCTCAAATTATTTTTCTCCTAAAAATATGTTGATCTATACATGTAAATTATTATTTTTTATGTCAAAACTATGCAAAACTCAATAAATTAAAAAAATTTGAATTATGATATGCTTTCAATAAAAACATGTTAAATGTATAGTTTATAAAGAAAATAATTAGCTTAGAAAATACTCATTAACAAACAAATAAAAAATAAAATGACATACATCAATATTTTTTATTTATTTTAAAATTGATTTTTGAAGATATATTTTTATATACTAAAATTTCTATTTTAAAATGAACGAAAGATGATGAAGTACAAGACACAACATCCTAAGGTTTATTTATATAAGAATATAATGGGTAAAAGAAAAACATCTAAAATAAAAGTATGAAAATTCACAAAGATATATCCGGGTGTAGTGGTAGCACTGTGATAATGCACTTCACAGTGAATGGTGACTCCAGTATTGGGTCGTTTATCCCAACCACCATCTAATCCTTCACAACGTTTTCAAGTTACACATCCAAGGATTTAATTAGCTCCCCAAAACATCACATTTCCAACCAAAAACAAAACAAAACGCATAATTTCTACAAAGAAAAATGGATGGAAAAATATAAAACTAAGCAAGAAAAAAAGGAGAATGTATATTATTAATAATCAGAACCGAACGCTATGCATCAAACAACTCTAAACACAAACATTCATTTGTTCTCATACAACTATAGTTGCAAAGCTAAACATCATGGGATTCAATAGATAAGGATCCTCATAACAATTTTACCAGATACCTATCAAGCCTGAAAACAATCTTAATAAAAATATGATATTTTCCTTTACTTGGATTTTGGATTTTTTTAAATAGTAATTTTTTTATTGTTAGAGTTTTTTTTTTTTTTTTTCAGTCAGTTACATTAAATTTCATGGGAAAAAATGGTAATATGTTAGAGATTTCAAATTAGTTTTAAACCTATATATAGACATTCTAATTTATAAATTTGAATGATTATTTTTTTATATTTTTAACTTATCTATCTTCTATGTAAATTTCACCATCTCTATATTTTTCTTTTATACAATACTTCGGATATTGGATTTGAACCATTAACAAAAGTGAGACAATATTTTCATTGAAGGCCAAACACAACGAGGATGAGTGCGTTATATAAAATTACATTTTTTTTTAACAATTGTAAGGCAAACATATGTTTTCATTATTTTAGTTAACACCTCTCAAAATCATCATCAAAGTTATCATCCCAACTTTCATGTTGTTCCTACATTTGTCCAACACGTTCCTTATCTAGCTAACACCCATCACTCAGTTGAAAATTTTCAAGATCGAATCTTTTCTTCTATGCAAATTTCAATTTTCATTAGTTTCTCCTTCTCCAAATCCATATGCCCATCAGTCATGTGAGATGAATTTGCTTCTCTAAGAACTTCCCTTTTTTAATCCAACAAGTCACAAAAAATGATAGAACTCAAATTTCAATACAAGAAAACAAGATTAAATCACCAAATATAAAGGGAAACAACACATAATCAATGTTTTCAAGTGCATAACACTCTTATGAAATTACTTACCAGCATAATTAAGTATGTTACGGTCCTACATAAATATACTCACTACAAAAAAATCGCATATTTCTAACGAATTTTTACCTATAGATTTGTAGTTGTCGAAAAATAAATCATTACTGACGAAATTTACCGACGGATATAAAATATTTGTGAAATTTGGTTTTACCGATGGATATATCTATCGATAAATCTGTCGTTAAATTAACAATTAATTACCGATAGATATATCCGTTGGTAAATTCATCGGTAAATTAACAATTATTTATCACCGAATATTTCTGTCGGTAAATCCATCAGTAAATTAATAATTAGTTACCGATGAATATATCTATCGAGTAAAATTATATAATAATTAGTTAATATATTCTGATAAATTAATTATTCACCTAATTAAAAATTTAAATATTTTTCATTTAATTTAATCATAATTAGATTAATTTATAATAATTTATTAAATTAAATAATTTTAAAAAATAAATATTTAATTATATATAAATATATAAATATATAAAAAAATATAAATATATATATATATATATATATTTGTATTTATATATTTACGTGGATATACATTTATTTATATATAAATATAATTTATTTTTAAATTATTATCAAAAAATTCTAGTAATTTATTGATTGAAATATCAATTTTTAACTTTAAGGTACTATATTTAAATGATCTTAATTGATAATTCTTTTAATTTAATAATTCAAAACTATAAATAAATAAAAAATAGTTTCCTGTGCGTCGAAAATATTTATCGACATATTTTAACCGTTGATATTTTCACTATTTTTTATAACTACTACACAACTCTTAACCAAAAAACTGTCACCCAACAAAACAAAGTCTTACATGCTACATCATCTTTTGAAATATACTTCCCACTGTTCCACTTTTTAATCTGACAAAAACTGTTGAATCAGCCATGATATCTCCTTCTAATTTAATCCTAGAAAACAACAGGTTACCTTCGCACATTTTGTGAACAGGACTGTTCCTTTGAAAATAAATTGAATGATGTCTCTTCTTCAAAGACATCTTTGCAAATGTTGTTATAAGGAAAGAATGGATGAAAAGTATAAAAGTTGTATTGAATGATAGGTAGAGTACATCTTATATACAAGATAGCTTTACAGAGGTACATAACAGATTGTAACCAACTAATTAACAGAAACTAAACTGAATTTATATTCAATATCCCCCCTCAAGCTGCAGCATATATATCCTTGTCGCCGCCGTCCCTTTCCGACGTCCGGAGGAGGACGTCTCGAAACGTTTATGCGAGCGGTCGCGAAAAGATGGTTTAGACTCGCGTTTTTGTTTTAAAAGGTTTTCGAAAAGGGGTTCTTATGGAGTCGCCACCAATGTTTTGACCATAAACATTGGAAAAGGAAAAAATGTTGATTTTAAGAAAAACCGCACTTGGCCATTATAACCAGAGTTGGGTAAGGGAGTTAGTTACGTGTGGGGAAGGTATTAGCACCCCACAACGCCCCTTTCGGGTTCCCTATGACAGATTAATTCATTTAAATAAAGACTACGAGAAATTACGCGATTACCCTATTTTATTACATAATATTAAATGGCTATCTACATGATTTTATTCTATATTGCATGTATAAAATGATGAATAAAGCTAAATAAAGCAATAAAAGAGATATTAAAATAGCTATCTACATGATCCTATTCTACATGACATAATAAAGCTAAATAAAACAAGAAAACAATAAATAAAACAATAAAAGAGAAGAGAATTGAAAAGAACCTCCGTAGCAAGCTTTATATTGAGAACCTCGAACCGTGAGGATGCGTTTTGGCAACCCTCTCTCTACACAGTCTCTCCTCACCAATACAAGATCGACTCTACTAAAAATTTAAAGAAGAATCAAATGCCGGAATATAATTCCTTAACCGATTGTTACCTATTTAAGGCAATCGGAAAGATCATTCGAGAGAGAGAGAGAAGTAGACAAGTGCTCTAAAGTGTTTCAGAGCTCTGTGGTGTGAAAAAGTGGCAAATGAGTCTCCTATTTATAGTTTTTCGCAGCTGGCGCACTTTGGGACGGCCGTCTGGGTTGGGACGGCCGTCTGGACTGGGATGGCCGTCCCAAATGGCAAATTTACACAGAGCAGGACCCCCAGGAAGGCCGGGACGGCCGTCCCACTTAAAATGGGTTTGGGACGGCCGTCCCAACTTTGGGACGCGCGTCCCAACTGGTTTTAAGAGGTTGGGACGGCCGTCCCAACTGGGACGGCCGTCTCAACCTGTTCTGGCCAGTTTCGCGCGTTTCGGGACTCCGGGAAGCTTTCCTTGCCTGTTTTGGACGTCAATTGATGCCGATATGTGTCTATTGAAGCTTTATCTCCATATGGGAAGTCTCCTTGGCTCTTATTTGTAATGCTAGACGAGCTTTATCTTGTTACGGGTGATCTCCTTTATCTTTATTTGAGAGGCCGAGCAAAATTAGGGGTCTACAATCCTTAATGCTCAGCTTGGACAACAAAGATTGAAATTGTGATGGATGTAATGCTTTAGTGTGAATGTCTGCAAGTTGTGCTGAAGTAGGAATGGGTAAGAGCTTAATAACACCAGCTTGAATTTTATCCCTTATGAGATGACAATCAATTTCAATATGTTTTGTCCTCTCATGCATAGCTGGATTTTGTGCAATTTGTATGGTAGATCGATTATCACAAAACAAAGAAACTGGTTGTGGGAGAGACTGTTTCAAATCATGGAGCAAATACAGAAGCCATTGAATTTCACATGCTGTGGATGCTAAGGCTCTATATTCTGCTTCAGTTGATGATCTAGATATAGTTCCTTGCTTCTTGGACTTCCAGCTGATTAAAGATGCACCATAGAACACATTAAAACCAGTTACAGACCTTCTAGTTTCACGGCAAGTAGCCCAATCGGAATCACTAAAAGTCTTGAGTGTATGTTCTGTATTGGAGGGAAAGAACAATCCTTGTCCTAGACTGTTCTTGATGTATTTTAGAATCCTTATTGCTGCTACATAGTGATCTTCCAAAGGATTGGAAAGGAATTGGCTGAGTGTGTTGACAGCGAAACATAAATCTGGCCTTGTGTTGGTTAGATAGAGTAACCTTCCAAGTAGTCTTCTATAGGCATGCACATCTGAATAAGGTTTCCCTTTTGTCTTGGAAAATTTTGTTCCTGGCTTTATGGGAGTAGAAACAGGTTGACATCCCAACAATCCTGCATCTTCTAGTAACTCTAGGGCATACTTCCTCTGTGACAAAGTAATGCCTTGTTGAGATCTGGCAATTTCTAAGCCAAGAAATTACTTGAGTTGGCCTAGGTCTTTAATCTTGAACTTTGCATTCAATAGAGAACATACACTCAAGGCTTTTAGTGATTCCGATTGGGCTACTTGCCCTGAAACTAGAAGGTCTGTAACTGGTGTTATTAAGCTCTTACCCATTCCTACTTCAGCACAACTTGCAGACATTCACACTAAAGCATTACATCCATCACAATTTCAATCTTTGTTGTCCAAGCTGAAGTATTAAGGATATATATGCTCCAGCTTGAGGGGGGATATTGAATATAAATTTAGTTTAGTTTCCATTAATTAGATGGTTACAATCTGTTATGTACCTCTGTAAAGCTATCTTGTATATAAGATGTACTTTACCTATCATTCAATACAACTTTTATACTTTTCATCCATTCTTTCCTTATAACAAATGTCATCTGCATGAGACAGAGAATCCCACGGAAAGTTTCAATGCTGATTTTATTTAATTGAAAAGCATATGAACTCATTGCCTCTGCAAGTAATAAAAATGGTGGAGGAAGGTTCATGGAAAATTCCTACGGGTCAAATTCAAGGATTTTGAAGAAAGGTTCGTTTTATTTACATGGCAAAGCCAAATGTTCTGCTTATTTACTAGATTGCTCTTTATTTTCTTACCTTATTTTATAAACTTTCGGTTTCCTTTATGAGAGACCTACTCCAATAGGGGTATTTGGGTAAAATCTGTAATGTTAAAAGATATTTTTTTTTTCAATGTTGTGAGTTTTCAATCTTAATTTTAAATGTAAAAAAAAAAGAGGTTATTTAAAGTAGTTGCTATAAAGATAGATCATAGATTTATGTCTAATTAAAGATTGAAAATTTAAAATATTAAGATCTAACTAAATACTAAGATTTATTTAACACATTTTTTATATACAATGAGATATTAAATTTTTACATATTATTTAAAAAAAATAAATTATGTGGCAGTATCATGTTGTAGCATGGTATTGACTATATTCATCGACTCTACATTGTTCTGCATGATTCTTAGACCATTCTGCATTTCCTCTTTGACCTCAAATTCAAACAATTTTTTCTTCTAGTGTACCATGGTTTAGGCAATATCAGAATAAGTCAAAATTTCCACCGAAACTTAAAGAAAATGCATTTTTTGTAGTATCATATGGAGTTTCATTTTTTTTTTTTTATTTACTTCCAGAGGTAGGTAGAAGTCAAGTCTTCAGAATTGAGTTAGGAAACATATGCTTTTCTGTGTTTGAATTTTCTTTACTTTCTTATAAAATATTCTTTTCAGTGATCACGTTTCTTTTAATATATCATACTTTATTCTTTATTAAAAATAAAAGAGTATCTCACTCAATTTTATCTTAAATAAAATTTTGGTAATATTATAATATTTTAAATGCATACTTAGACTTTATCACATTTTTCCGTGTCAAAAAAGGGAATTTTGATCCCACATACTTGTGTTAACTTTTTTTTTTTAATTCTTTTATACTATTAGAAAAAAAATCAATATTAAAAACTGATTTATCCAATAACATCTATATATAATTTATATAAGATAATATTATAATATCTTTAATTAACATTGATTCAATACAATTTTTTTATAATTTTATTTTTTTATTACACTCAGCTGTCACATCCTAACCTTTTTATTTTTAAGGTTTAAATGTATCATTTGCATTGAATAATATGTACCCATTTACTTAAAAAAGTAACCAATTTAAACATTTATATTAAGAGGGGCTGATTATTGACAGGGTGACTTTCGTGTAGATTTTTGCTGTTTATAAACTATGTGACTTGCACGGCACATATTTCAATACTGAGTTGAAATTCCAAGTACCATCTTCAAAGTAAATTTAAATGCTGTCGGTTTCTAATTAAAATATTATAACCTATTTTTAATTAATTTCTTTTACGGGTTGTCATATATGAGGAGTCGTAACAACATATTTTGAAATATGTTCTTTTTATGTAAGCTAAAATTTATTTCAAACTATAAAATCATGAAAAGTGAGATCCATAATATTTTCAATAAACTTATCCTATATGTAACTATATATTTACTCTATCAAATAAACTAAAATCTATTATCCTCATCGACTAATTGATCTCTTTTAAAATTGTCCTAATATTTTGTACATCCATAACAAAATAATAAATAAAAACCTATATGTATAATATATATTTTTTTAAATCCTTTCATTTATTAACTAAATGAGTACTGATAATTTATTCAAACTACTTTTACCGACTCATAAAGGTAAAACACTATAAGTCGAGTATGAAAATATTTAATTTAAAGATAAAAAATTATTTACACGTATTATTAAAGTGAAACTTTAAATTTAGTAAAAAAAAAATTGATATTGTAGGTAAGTTTAACACTTAATTAATCCAAACATTTTCTTAATTCTTCGGAATTCAAAGAATAAACTACATGTTAAACTATATTAGAAAAGACTAAGGTAATATATTATAAATATAAAATTAATAGTATTTTATTCTTACAAAAAATATCCAAATATATAATATACCCTTAACATGATTTTGATACATGCAACATAGAAAAAAAAAATGACTTTATTATGAAAGTGTAATAAATTATAAGATACTCGACACCATCTAAAATATATTTAATTGTTATTTATTTTTTAAACAATTTTTTTAGTTTCTATTTTCATATTGGTTAAAATAATGTATATTTCTAACATTTTAATATACTTTTTCAAATAAGCATGCTTATTACAATTTTTTAAAGGAAACATTAAATTTTGGATTAGATATTTTCAATGAAGGATGACCTTCTTCATTCTTATTTTGTACTTCTCCCTTTAACTCCATTTCAATTTATTTCTTTTTTTTATCAACTTCTTTTAATATAATAATTACAATTTTATTTTAATATTATATTTAATAAATGCTCACATTAATATAAATTATTTTCTTATATATTAGCTTCAAACTAAGTGAGTGGCAAAGAATGTTGCTCAACAATTATTAATATACGTTACACATCAATTAAGTAGAGAACAACCTTTAATATCTTATGCATTTATCAAAACATGCAAAAAGAGGTAATTTAGACCCATGTTACCAATTGCAAGGTTTGAAGTTTGAACCCCAAATTTGAAAGAATTGATTTCCCAAAGCTTGCATCTTCAAAACAGCAGTTAATGGAATCTCTCCTTCTGCGTGGCCCACCCTTGGCCCCATTAGGGAATATTTGTTGGGAGTAGAAGAGGACTATAATTTCTAAAATTTTGTAATACTCGTCTAATTTTGTATTTTTGTTTTTAATTTAATGAATATTTAATATATTTATTTATTTATTTATAATTTTATATTTTTTTTATTTTTTTATTTTGTAATTCTTAAATAATTTATAATTTTATTTTCTTTAAATTTAATAATTATTTAATATATTTAAGTATATATTTATAATTTTATTCTTTTAATTTTTTTTCTTTTTATATTTATTTATTATTTATTAATAATATATTATTTAATATTTTTTTTTATTATTTATTAATAATATATTATTTTACTTCCTCGTAAATAAATTATCAAATTCCCACATTTTCGCCCAAACCCCGTACTCCCCCCAAACCCCCTATAAATAACTCCCCTCTTCTTCTCTGTTTTCTCCCCCTCCCCCCTCTCTTCCTCTCTCTCTCGCACACAAACACTCCTTTCATCATACGTCTTCTCTTTCTCTCTTCGTTCGGTCACACCAGCACAACTATTTGCTTCGCAGCACCGCATAATCTTGGTAAGAGTCTACCTCCTCCACCCAAGTTATTTGTTATTCTCCCATGTTTTTGTGTAAATCTTCATTTGTTCGCTAATCAGCATGTTTATTGGTTAACCATTTCTTTTGCTTAGTTACATCATAATGTCATTATTATTCTAGGTCCACTTCTCCATATGTCGTTTTCATCGAATATGTTCATTTCGCTTCATTGCATGTCGTTCATATGAGATATCCTCAACAGCTTCGATTCCATTCCATTTTCTGTCGTTTTTCGAAAATAATAATAATAATTGTCAGTGAGATTATGTCCTTCACCTTCAATCTTTCCTTTTTTTCATATTCCTCATCTTCATCTACATCGGCGCTAATTTTTTTTGGTTGATTTTTTTTCCCTTTCAATCACGGCTCCCATCTCATTACTATTTTTTTTTTTCTTTCTCTTCTTTGTTTTCCCACTGCATTTAATAATAATCATGGTTTTTTGGTTTCATGGGAAAAAGCATAAGGAAAAAAGGTATTATGCACGAGAACGGTTAAAGACATTAGTCAGTAGAAAATGTTCTGTTTTGGACACTTCTTTAATATGCTCACACACACCTCTCTTCATGCACTTTTCTTGGTCGTGTCAACTTATCATGGTTTCCTCTGCTTTTCGCATTCTTTTTTCTGTTTAACATTTTCCCCTCACAAGTATAAACACACCGATGATGAATATATGTTATGTATTTTTTCTTTCAAAATCTGTTATTTTTATCATTTTCTACTTAGAAGTGAGGAACAAGTAGAATTGTGCGAGTCTTTCTGTGTGCGCCTCTGTAGCTGCTGTCGGTTTGTTGAATGAACATCTTAACAGAATACAAGATTTGGTTACAAACTCTCCAAGAATTTAAGAGCCAGATTTTATTGTCTATAGGATAAGACAAGTGAGTTAAGTCTATTAAATAGCCACTAGATCTTCTATGCTTCTATGCCATTCAATTTAAGGATAACAGTTATGTAGTGTATTACTTATATATTCTGTAAAGATACAGTACTGTATACAAGAATCCTGTTTCATATATTTATATGACAAGGAACCTTAAAACAGTTAAGTGTGTAGTGCACAGAGAACTTAATATGCTATTTTTATAGTATAAAATAACTCATATTTTCTCTTTGAATTAATAGTAGTTAGTTTTTGCTTGAGATATTAATATGTTTCCTTAAACATATAAATTAAAAGCTTTTGCATAAAGCAATTAAATCAATGTCAAAGTTTTAATGTACTTGTTAAAATAACATGATTTCTATAGGGACAGACAAAATAGTTGTAAGCTATATATAAAACTAGTCCCTTGTTGTCCATTAAACACTTCATTGTTAATTAAGTAAGTAATTAATCAGTTGACTTTTTAGGTGTACATGACTCAAACATGCATAACCCTTCATCATGTCCTTTCTTATACTGCATGAGGGTATTTACTGTTTAGCTAGCTTATACAGAATAGGAAGTTTACTCTTTTTTTTTTTCATTGTTAGAATTATATACTTCTACATTTTACTAAATTAACTAGGCCCGGTACGCCCAGTACAAGTGTTCAACTCTTATAATTAATGTTTCACCAAACAATTTAAAATTTTGTCCATTTTTTCCTAGGATACTTATTAAACTAGTCACAAGTGTGTTTATTAGAGAAAAATTATCAATGTCCGGAGTTAGATATAATAGTTTTCTTTGGAATTGACCATTTTGTCGTACTAGGGTGTCATATTTCTTGTTTTAATTATTTATCTGGAAAGTAAAAGTCATATTTCAATTTTTGCCTCAATCTATTTGTCAATTCTGAGTAAAGCTAAATATTTGTTTATTCAATGGCAGGTAAAACATATATATTCTTTTAATGGAAACCTTTAACACTCCTATATGATCTGCGTTGATCTAAAGGAGCATTTTTCTTCAAGAATTTATTTCACCTTGTTTAGTGCACTTGAAGAACAGACATATTTATTGCAGTTTCACTTGTAGCTAGCATTTCCTTATGTATTCTTTTACATATATAAATATATCATATCTTGCTTTGATTTAACAAGTCTTTTTGCTGAGTTCACCTCAATCAGAAGGAACATGATTATTGTTGTTACTGTTAATCTCAATGTGAAACCACTGTGTTATGTGAGACTGTCTGAAATATTATTAAATGATATAAGTTATATAGGTGTCATAATCTAGTGATATTAGACCTTGATTAGATCAGTTTGAACGGGATAGGGGTAATTGAGTGGAATCAAAAGACTAACCAACACATAGAGCAGTTACTCCTCTGATGTAGGCCTAATAAACTCCCAACTCTTTTTAACTTGTGTCATTGTCATCTGAGTCAGAATAGACTAATAATATCCTACCCTACTTTACTGTGGAAGTCTTTCAAACTTTGTTTTTGTATGGGAACAAGTAGTCAAATCTTGTATTTCAATAATATATTGCGCTTTTGTTTTTTATTTTTATTGTTTTCATGCATTTCTGTCTAAAAGACAGAAGAAGATTTTCACTGATAGAAAACGACCTCCATATTGTGTATCTGCTTTAGGGTTTAGGGCATATGTGAGTGTTCGCGACCTTACTCCTTATGGTAGGATATCGCTCTTTCTTATTTTCCATCTCCATATCCATCTCCATCTTTGTTCAGAGGCTTCTATACGACATATAGGATAGAGATATTCCCAGTGTAAAAAAATCCTTCATCTGCCCGACATTAAATAGGTATCAACTATGATGACCTTTCATACTATTAATTTGTGTAAGATTACAAAGTTACATCTTTCTAAAAGAGACTAAGCCCTTATAACCCGGATATCTCTATACTAATGCTGATCGCATCTTATACCACTTCCTTTTTATTTGGACAAAATCTGCAACTAATGCATTTTTGACCAAATATGCAAAATCCTCCAGTTACATATTTAGAGCATAGTCTAGGTAAACAAACAGACTAACCCCTAGTATTGATATTATCCTAGTGTTGCATAGTCTAGGTAAACAGACTAAGCCCTAGGGTTTTGAAAAAGAGACCAAAGTAGGCTTTCTCCTAATAATCCAACTTGTTAACTTATACAACTTATTAACCATACTGTTGACGTATGTCTGTGCTGGTGGTAACAAGTTCCCATAATTTTTAGTTATAAGACCCTTTCTTAATGACCCCGGAAGAAGCCAGACAGTATTGAGTGCCACTAATATCCACAGATATATTGATTGGCTAGTTGTGGTTAGCCCATCCTAATCCTATGTGTCATATAGAAGCCTCTCAACAGATATGGATATGGAGATGGAGAATAAGAAGGAGCTGTATCCTTAGTTACTTGGCCCACCGAAAACATTTGTTAGTTGATGGTTTGTCCAGAATGATTGAAAATTGTCTCAGAATATTTTTGCAACTACTTCCTAGATAAAACTATTTGAAACAGTCAAGTGTAGTCTTATTGAATATTTTGATCTATTCTCCTCCCTTTTCTTTATGTGGTTAGCTCAACCCACCATCTAATGTTGTTATATTATACCTTTCTTTTACTTTGAAGCTTTTTTGTGAGGATAGAAACATTAGCAGCCAAACACGGTAACTAGTCCTCCCTAGTTACCTTCCTGATAAAGCAATATTTGTCATGATTTTGTTGGACGATTATATTAGTAAATAGCATGAATCATGGTGAACCATTTAAGTAGAGCATGATTATACCTTTGTTTTATATATTTTTAAAAGAATATGTTTCAATTATCTGAATTTTAAAAAAAAAATTGAATATCCTTACATGTATTTTAATCTGTCTTATTCAATCATATTGTTCTCATATTTGATTGCTTATAAGGTTAACTAAAGTAATCTGACTTGATAAATTAAAGTTAATATTGGAAATTATTATTAAATTAATTAAATCTATTTATTTTTCATTTATATTTTATTAAATGGTAACTTTTGAAAATCGCACAGAAAGGCACTAGTTATTTTATAAGATTAAAAACTTGTTCTTCAGAAACTTCACAAACAGTTTACATATTTTTGTGCTTTTTTTTTTTAATTTAAGCATTTTTTTTCTATTTTTCAATAACATTGCAAACACTATTTAACATAGTTATCATCAGTTCGCTGACAGAATAAGATATTAAATAGAAGTTTTTAAAATGAAAAAAGATCAAATAAATATAGCTAATTTCAGAATGGTGAAACTTTAAAGGTAGTTTTGAAAACATAGCTTACAAAATTTATTTATTTTAAATAAAAATATCTATTTCCTAAGAGTAAGTCAAAGTATAAATGAAAATCAACTTATATAAAATAGAAGATATTTTAGATTCATAATTCCTCCAAAAAGATCACTTAAATATAATTTCCTTAAAATATAAAAGTGAAATTGTGTTTTCTTTTTATTATTTTACTACCCACAACATCTTTTGAAAAAACAATATGAAATATAAAATTTAGAACAAGGTTAAGGAAAAACGAAAAATAATAGATAATCTTTGTTGTATGACATAGAATCAAACATCTTTAGGTGAAAAAACACTTTAACATGTGTGATCTGTGGCTAACGCATAAGTTATTTGTTCTTGATTGGTGAATTATAGTTGGGCTTGGAGCCCATGACAGAATACATGCCTATTTCAAATTCTGTTTGTTCCATGTTTTTTTATAACTGATTATGACTACCAAAATATAAATGATGGCGTAATTTTTTGTTTATGTATAACTATTGATGTATTATCATATTAAGATTTTTCTGCTATTTATTTCTTCCATGATCCATAAAATTCATGTTATGAGGTAGACTCATATGTTCATTATTTCGTTTTCAGGAGATTAGGGTTGAAAGGAATTACTGTTCCACATTTCAATTAAATATGAACTATATATTTCTTCTCCTTGTCACATTCAAGGTAAATCAAGACATGCTTTTTTTTTTTTACACTACCATTACCTTTAAACATAAGTTTTTGAGGAAGCAATATAACTAGTCTTTTTTTTCCCCTTAATTTTGTGGTATATATTAGATTATCAAGAGGAAGTTCACACAGCTACGACAGGTTATGGGGTTTCAAACATCACATGGATACCACAACCAATTTTCAAAGCAAAGGAGGATCCGATTGATGCTAATGCAAACTCTTTAATTCAAAGGTCCACTCTGAATTTGATTGATTAAACCCAAACCAATGCCAAGTTCATTTTGTCTAGCTATGATTCGTGGGTGGTAAGTACCAACCCAGTAAAACATAAAATGGGTTATTTACTTAATTTCTGAATTAAACTGTTATCAATTTTTAAAAGATTCAATAAACATCTCACACCCAGAAAAATCCACCTTCCCTTACACAACTACAAAAAAAATAAAAATAAAGATCATTTTCTTTCTTCTTCTCTTCACTAGACACTTGGGTACAATTTTCTTCTATAAGAAAGAAACTACTAGCAGATAAATGTGTTCAGTGTGACAAATAGAACCAAACTCTCTCTCTCTCTCTCTCTGTATATATACTAGAACATTAAACTTTATGAGGATTTTTGTGACAAGTCATGCATTGCTCGTGTTATGTGATTAGTCTTTTGTTTATATGACTAGGTAACCTACTCTTCGGCATTGAACTTGTTTGAAAGATTGGTGAAAGCAGCCACAGAGAAGAGGATCATCGTTTTCTTGGATTATGACGGCACCTTATCCCAATTGTAAATGATCCTGATTGTGCTTTCATGTCTGATGAGGTAATTAACTATTACGTAACCATTCGGTTAAAAGTCATATATTATAAATCTTTCCTTTTTTTTTTCTGTAATAATCTTGTATAAATTCTAAATTGATTGAAGGTGCTGTATAATGTAAATTACAGATACGTGCAGTAGTAAATGAAGTTGCTACTTATTTTCCAACAGCAATAATTAGAGGAAGAAGCAGAAATAAGGTTAATTGATCAATCATTCAATTTCATACTGTGTCAGAGTTCTAATTCTATGTCTTTATTTTTTATTTTTCTCCTTATTTTGTGAATGGCACCATCAATGCCTGTTAGATCTTCAAAAGGCAAGCATATTGACATTGCCCTTAACACAAATGTGAGTAACTCTACTATAGTTATTCTGTTTAATCCTTTTAAGAATTAAATATTTATTGAAGTTAAACTTCATTGTGTTAAAAGAAAAAGAAAAGAAAAGTTATGTTATATTGACACTACTCAGTCTTAGTATTTTCTTAGATTAAATGTCTCTTGAATAGTTAATGTAAGTATTTTAATTTTCAGGGTACTGAAGTCCCCTTCCAACCTGCCAAGAAGTTTTTGCCAGCCATCAGAGAGGTCAGTAAAATGACCTAAAGTCATTTCATGATTTTTTTCTGTAGTCTTTCCATATTTTTCATTTCATGCTTTAATTGGTTAAAGAAAACAATATACTGTCAAAACTATCCTTTAAAAGAAATAATCAAGATGAGGGTTTGGAGTAAATATAGTCTAAACTACGTCAAAGTTACTTGAAAATGTTTTGCAAGTTAGAGGTCAAATTCAACTGTTAGTATGGTACAAAACTGAATGTTTGGATGTTTGTGCTAACAGATATTAAGAATACTAAAGAATGAAGTTATAAGGGTGTTTAGTTGACTGATAGTATAAAAAATTTTGAAATCATTATTGTGATTGTGTGTTGAAATTAAATTCTATTTCTAATAATCTATTAAATATAGAGCATAATTCATAACTGAAATCACAACAGATTGACTGAACGTTGTCTCAAATGTATCATTATGAAAATGATTTTAAAATAAAGTGGTTTCTGTAAAATCACTTATATACGTAAGAAATCAAATTTCAAATAGAAGAATCAACCAAAAAGGAAACAGAAAGATGGCCTAATCCATTGCTCTTTATGGTCACCAGTTCGGCAAACGACAAGCACAGAAAAGATATTTTCTGGTATTTCAAGGCAACAAAAGAGGGATGGCAAGATGCTCTTGAGAAAGTGGATCGGGACAAACGGGGAGGGGTCCCTTTTTGCTATCTGCTCCAATTCCATCATTGCGCTTTCCACAAAAGCTAATTCTGCACTTGTTGGGAAAAAGCCATTCTTAATTCCTGCCTTAATTTTTCGAGTAAAGTCCATTCCTGTAGTTATTGTGCTGTGAGATGGATGATGACGGTCCAAGAAATATTCAAACTTCAGGCCCCAGCAAGCATCCAGTTTGCATTTACACAGATACTTCGATTTGTCATCCTTAGATCCTTTCATGATGTAATCTATCCACATGTAGATTATGTTTGGAATTCAATTCAAACCCCAGTTTACATTGTGTGGGCTTATGCACTCACTCTCAGTACAAAGCGGCAAGAATCTCTCTCATAGAAGCTGATTCAATGTCTTAGCTCTTCTTTTTGACAATTAGTAATACCATCTTGGTTGACACTTTCAAAGATGCATTCTTTTCCATCTTCAAACATTGGATACATTCATAGAGAATAGAATATACTCCTAGGCTACTGAAAAGATATATGCTATGGAAATACTAGACTTTTTTACTCGCCATAGCCCTTTCACAGAAAATGACTGTTAGTCCCAATAAAAATAAAAAATTACACATGCATAAAGAATGATGAGATATCGAAATGAGAATGGATTTGATTTCAGAACTAACACTAAAGGGGAAACAAACCAATTGCATCATACAAAATCTATACCCATAACCATAATTTGGCACCTCTGTATCAATCTCACTAAACTAAAAGAGTACCCTTGGATTTGTGCAATCAAGACATAAGAGATTTGTCCAATCATTCCATAATATGTGTTAAAGAATGACACACATACTTTGTGAATAGATACAAATAAAATGTGTTAAAGAATGACACACATATTTTGTGAATGGATACAAATAAAATGTGTTAAAGAATGACACACAAAAATGGATACAAATTTTATACAGATGCATGGAACAAGGGGAAAAAGACTATAAATAGTGGAGTTTATGTTACGGGTTTGACAGAAAGTGGTAAAGATGATTTTTTGGAATAATTATTAAAATATATGAGTTGGAATACAATTCTTCAAGTTATCCCAAAACAGTTGTGAATTTTTAATGTGAATGGTTTGATCCATCTAGAAGAGATAGATCCTAAATATAATATTGTAGATATTCGAATGAGTTTATGATATGAACCATTTGATCCATTTATCCTTGCACCTAATGTAAGACAAGTGTATTATGTCCCATATCTATCGTTTCGAATAGATATAAATATATAAAGATATAAATATATAAATATTGTATTTATATATTTATACGAATATACATTTATTTGTATATAAATATATTTTATTTGTAAATTATTATTGAAAAATCCTAGTAGCTTAGTGGTTGGAGTATCAACCTCCAACTCTAAGTTATCGAGGGTTGTAAATAAGTAAAAAACGTACATAATTAATTTTGTCATCAATTTAACGACCAAAATAATTGATGACTATTTTTTTTAACTTTGCCACCAATTTAACGACCAATTTAATATATTAATTTTGGTCGTTATTTTGGTATCTAAGGAATAAGTGACCAAATTATTTAATGACCACCTTATCGGTCGATATTTTGCGATCGAAATGAAAATCAGTCGCTAACACATGAGTGACTTAGCCTTTTGCGACAACGCATTTCAGTCACTAATTGATTAGCGACCGATTTTTTGACATTAGCGACCAATTTTTTCGGTCGCTAAAACTGTTTTTTCTTGTAGTGATAGTTACTCTTACACATTTTCAGTATAGATAGTTTGAATTATATATCATTCATTTGAATTGAGGTTATTTTAATTATGTTTGATTTCAATTGAAATTATTTGTCTTATATTTAAGTAGAGGCGTCAAAGTGAGTCAACCCGACTCACATGGGTTAGCTCACCACGGACTGAGTTGAAAATAGGCGAGCTCAAGCTGACTCACTTTATGGTGAACTATAAATTTTACAACCCGACTCAACCCATTACGGATTGGTGGGTTAACTCACTAACCCACATATTTGTTTTCTAATAAGCATGATTGAATCGCAGGACTAAACGCAATGAGGCAGTGACACAACAAACTCTATAATGCAACTGAAATGTGACAAACGCTATGGTACAACTGAAATACGGTAACGTGATGTAAACTACCAGCCTGATGGGGGGTTTATACTCATCTAGTCCTACGCATAGTGGGTTGTAACTACCAGCCTGATGGGGGGTTTATACTCATCAATCAAAGGGGTCGGCTACCGCAAGAAGGAGCATCCTAGAGGCGCACAACACATTTTTTCCCAGAGGACCAGCCGTCACAAGACGGAGCATTCGAAGGACATTCGGGCAAGAGGGTTAACTCCTTCACCCTCCAGCCGATCTTCTTGGCAAAACAGACCAACAGTCGGCTAGTCAAGTGAAGGGGGGGCAGCTGTAGACCCCAAATCTTGCCCGACCTCAAAATAAAGAGCAGAAGATGGAGACTAGGCCTAAAAATCCACTAGGAGAGACCATTAGGCCCCATATTAGAGTAGAAAGGCTTTTCTGTACGAAAAAATAAGGATTCTCACCTTAAAGGTCGAGACCGTTGTCGTTGCCATCAAAAGAGGCGGTCGGAGCGACGCGATGGTTATGACTTCCCATTTTCGCGTTTTGGAGGGGTGGTATTACAACGCCTCTAGGTTGTCCGATAACTGGGCTGGACCTAGGGACGACGTTTTCAAAAGGGAGCTCTTAGGTTGTCTGATAATTGGGCTGAACCCAAGAGCCAATTTTCAAAGGGGTTCTTATGGAGTCGCCATCGATGTTTTTACCAGAAACATCGAAAAAGGAAAAAAAGAAGGTGTTGGTTTTTTAAGAAAACCAACTTTGGCCATTATAACCAGAGTTGGATAAGGGAGTTAGTTACGTGTAGAGAAGGTATTAGTTTCCCTATGACGCCCCTTTCGGGTTCCCTATGATGGGCCGGTTATTTTGTAAATAAATTAAAAATGACGCTTTTACCCTTTTATTTGCGGAATAAGAAAATGATGACTACATGACCCTAATTAATGCATATATAAATAATAACGCGATAAAAGAAAGAGAGAGAGGGTGAAGAAACCTCCGAAGCAAGCTTTGATTAATTCTTCAAAAGTTAGGGTGCGTTTTGGCAGCCCTTCGCTCTTACAGACGGTTGAAGGGATGATGAAAACAAATAATTTTATTTATTTCATCCAGAAAGTCTATATTCCTCAATGCAACGTTTCAAAGAACACATTTTTTTTAAAGCAGAGAAGCCTGAAGGAACCCATAGGCGGGTTAGAATTTTTATGCATTTTCTCTTTTGACTTCCTGTGCATGGCATGTGAATGCCTTATCCTCTTTACATGGTATTGAGGAATATCTACTTTCTTCAACTGCCTATTACTAGATGAAGTTAAGGAGGGAGAAATGATCATGGATGGAGAAGAAGTTAAGGAAGGAGAAGAAATTAGGGATGATGAGGAAGAAAGTAAGGATGGAGAAGAAGAAGTTATGGATGGAGAAGATGTTAAGGAAGGAGAAGAAACTAAGGAAGGCGAAGAAGTTAGGGAAAGAGAAGAAGTTTGGGATGAAAAAGAAGTTTGAGATGGAGTAGAAGTTTAGAATGGAGGAGAAGAGTCGAAGTATGGAGAAGAAATTAAGGACGAAGAAGTTTAGGAAGGAGAAGAAGTTAAGGAAGACGATGTTTTGGATGGAGAAGAAGTTATGGATAAAGAAGAAACTATGGATGGGGAAGAAGTTTGGGATGGAGAAGAATCTACTAAGTATGGAGAAGAAATGAAGGAAGAAGAAGTTAAGGAAGGAGAAGAACTTTTGGATGGATAGGATAGGAGATTATAGTTAAGGATGGAGAGAAACTTGGGATGTAGAATGAAGTTAAGGAAGCAAAAGATGTTAAGGAGAATGGAGAAGAAGTTAGGGAAGGAGAAAAGGTTAAGAATGAAGAAAAAGTTAGGGAAGGAGAAGAAGTTAAGGATGGAGAAATAGTTTGGGATGGGGAAGAAGTGAAGGAAGGAGAAGAGGTTAAGGAAGAAGAAGAAGAAGTTTTGGATGGAGAAGAAATTAAGGGTAAAGAAGAAAGTATGGATGAGGAAGAAGTTTGGGATGGAGAAGAAGTTAAGGAGGGAGAAATGATAATGGATGGAGAAGAAGTTGAGGAAGGAGAAGAAATTAAGGATGATGAGGAAGAGAGTAAGGATGGAGAAGAAGAAGTATGGACGGAGAAGATGTTAAGGAAGGAGAACAAACTAAGGAAGGAGAAGAAGTTCGGGATGGAGAAGAAGTTCGGGATGGAGAAGAAGTTAAGGATGAAGAAGAAGTTTGGAATGGAGGAGAAGTTTGGAATGGAGGAGAAGAATCGAAGTATGGAGAAGAAATTAAGGAAGAAGAAGTTTAGGAAGGAGAAGAAGTTAAGGAAGAAGAAGTTTTGGATGGAGAAGAAGTTATGGATAAAGAAGAAAGTATGGATGGGGAAGAAGTTTGGGATGGAGAAGAATCTACTAAGTATGGAGAAGAAATGAAAGACGAAGAAGTTAAGGAAGGAGAAGAACTTTTGGATGGATAGGACAGGAGATTATATTTAAGGATGGAGAAGAAACATGGGATGTAGAATGAAGTTAAGGAAGCAGAAGAAGTTAAGGAGGATGGAGAAGAAGTTAGGGAAGGAGAAAAGCTTAAGAATGAAGAACAAGTTAGGGAAGGAGAAGAAGTTAAGGATGAAGAAATAGTTTGGGATGGGGAAGAAGTGAAGGAAGGAGAAGAGGTTAAGGAAGAAGAAGAAGAAGAAGTTTTGGATGGAGAAGAAGTTAAGGAGGGAGAAATGATCATGGATGGAGAAGAAGTTAAGGAAGGAGAAGAAATTAGGGATGATGAGGAAGAAAGTAAGGATGGAGAAGAAGAAGTTATGGACGGAGAAGATGTTAAGGAAGGAGAAGAAACTAAGGAAGGAAAAGAAGTTTGTGATGGAGAAGAAGTTTGGGATGGAGAAGAAGTTAAGGATGGAGCAGATGTTTAGGATGGAGGAGAAGTTTGGAATGGAGGAGAAGAATCGAAGTATGGAGAAGAAATTAAGGAAGAAGAAGTTTAGGAAGGAGAAGAAGTTAAGGAAGAAGAAGTTTTGGATGGAGAAGAAGTTATGGATAAAGAAGAAAGTATGGATGGGGAAGAAGTTTGGGATGGAGAAGAATCTACTAAGTATGGAGAAGAAATGAAGGAAGAAGAAGTTAAGAAAGGAGAAGAACTTTTGGATGGATAGGATAGGAGATTATAGTTAAGGATGGAGAAGAAACTTGGGATGTAGAATGAAGTTAAGGAAGCAGAAAAAGTTAAGGAGGATGGAGAAGAAGTTAGAGAAGGAGAAAAGCATAAGAATGAAGAACAAGTTATGGAAGGAGAAGAAGTTAAGGATGGAGAAATAGTTTGGGATGCGGAAGAAATGAAGGAAGGAGAAGAGGTTAAGGAAGAAGAAGAAGAAGTTTTGGATTGAGAAGAAGTTAAGGGTAAAGAAGAAAGTATGGATGGGGAAGAAGTTTGGGATGGAGAAGAAGTTAAGGAGGGAGAAATGATCATGGATGGAGAAGAAGTTAAGGAAGGAGAAGAAATTAGGGATGATGAGGAAGAAAGTAAGGATGGAGAAGAAGAAATTATGGACGGAGAAGAAGTTAAGGAAGGAGAAGAAACTAAGGAAGGAGAAGAAGTTAGGCATGGAGAAGAAGTTTGGGATGGAGAAGAAGTTTGGGATGGAGAAGAATCTACTAAGTATGGAGAAGAAATGAAGGAAGAAGAAGTTAAGGAAGGAGAATAACTTTTGGATGGATAAGATAGGAGATTATAGTTAAGGATGGAGAAGAAACTTGGGATGTAGAATGAAGTTAAGGAAGCAGAAGAAATTAAGGAGGATGGAGAAGAAGTTAAGGATGGAGAAATAGTTTGGGATGGGGAAGAAGTGAAGGAAGGAGAAGAGGTTAAGGAAGAAGAAGAAGAAGAAGTTTTGGATGGAGAAGAAGTTAAGGGTAAAGAAGAAAGTATGGATGGGGAAGAAGTTTGGGATGGAGAAGATGTTAAGGAAGGAGAAGAAGTTATGGATAAAGAAGAAAGTATGGATGGGGAAGAAGTTTGGGATGGAGAAGAATATACTATGTATGGAGAAGAAATGAAGGAAGAAGAAGTTAAGGAAGGAGAAGAACTTTTGGATGGATAAGATAGAAGATTATAGTTAAGGATGGAGAAGAAACTTGGGATGTAGAATGAAGTTAAGGAAGTAGAAGAAGTTAAGGAGGATGGAGAAGAAGTTAGGGAAGGAGAAAAGGTTAAGAATTAAGAACAAGTTAGGGAAGGAGAAGAAGTTAAGGATGGAGAAATAGTTTGGGATGGGGAAGAAGTGAAGGAAGCAGAAGAGGTGAAGGAAGAAGAAGAAGTTTTGGATGGAGGAGAAGTTAAGGGTAAAGAAGAAAGTATTGATGGGGAAGAATTTTGGGATGGAGAAGAAGTTAAGGAGGGGGAAATGATCATGGATGGAGAAGAAGTTAAGGAAGGAGAAGAAATTAGGGATGATGCGGAAGAAAGTAAGGATGGAGAAGAAGAAGTTATGGACGGAGAAGATGTTAAGGAAGGAGAAGAAACTAGGGAAGGAGAAGAAGTTAGGGATGGAGAAGAAGTTTGGGATGGAGAATAAGTTAAGGATGGAGAAGATGTTTGGGATGGAGGAGAATTTTGGAATGGAGGAGAAGAATGGAAGTATGAAGAAGAAATTAAGGAAGAAGAAGTTTAGGAAGGAGAAGAAGTTAAGGAAGAAGAAGTTTTGGATGGAGAAGAAGTTATGGATAAAGAAGAAACTATGGATGGGGAAGAAGTTTGGGATGGAGAAGAATCTACTAAGTATGGAGAAGAAATGAAGGAAGAAGCATTTAAGGAAGGAGAAGAACTTTTGGATGGATAGGATAGGAGATTATGGTTAAGGATGGAGTAGAAACTTGGGATGTAGAATGAAGTTAAGGAAGCAGAAGAAGTTAAGGAGGATGGAGAAGAAGTTAGGGAAGGAGAAAAGGTTAAGAATTAAGAACAAGTTAGGGAAGGAGAAGAAGTTAAGGATGGAGAAATAGTTTGGGATGGGGAAGAAGTGAAGGAAGGAGAAGAGGTTAAGGAAGAAGAAGAAGAAGAAGAAGTTTGGGATGGAGAAGAAGTTAAGGAGGGAGAAATGATCATGGATGGAGAAGAAGTTAAGGAAGGAGAAGAAATTAGGGATGATGAGGAAGGAAGTAAGGATGGAGAAGAAGAAGTTATGGATGGAGAAGATGTTAAGGAAGGAGAACAAACTAAGGAAGGAGAAGAAGTTAGGGAAAGAGAAGAAGTTTGGGATGGAGAAGAAGTTAAGGATGGAGAAGAAGTTTGGGATGGAGGAGAAGAATCGAAGTATGGAGCAGAAATTAAGGAAGAAGAAGTTTAGGAAGGAGAAGAAGTTAAGGAAGAAGAAGTTTTGGATAGAGAAGAAGTTATGGATAAAGAAGAAAGTATGGATGGGGAAGAAGTTTCGGATGGAGAAGAATGTACTAAGTATGGAGAAGAAATGAAGGAAGAAGAAGTTAAGAAAGGAGAAGAACTTTTGGATGGATAGGATAGGAGATTATAGTTAAGGATGGAGAAGAAACTTGGGATTTAGAATATAGTTAAGGAAGCAAAAAAAGTTAAGGAGGATGGAGCAGAAGTTAGGGAAGGAGAAAAGGTTAAGAATGAAGAACAAGTTAGGGAAGGAGAAGAAGTTAAGGATGGAGAAATAGTTTGGGATGGGGAAGAAGTGAAGGAAGGAGAAGAGGTTAAGGAAGAAGAAGAAGAAGTTTTGGATGGAGAAGAAGTTAAGGGTAAAGAAGAAAGTTTGGATGGGGAAGAAGTTTGGGATGGAGAAGAAGTTAAGGAGGGAGATATGAACATGGATGGAGAAGAAGTTAAGGAAGGAGAAGAAATTAGGAATGATGAGGAAGAAAGTAAGGATGGAGAAGAACCAAGTTATGGACGGAGAAGATGTTAAGGAAGGAGAAGAAACTAAGGAAGGAGAAGAAGTTAGGAATGGAGAAGAAGTTTGGGATGGAGAAGAAGTTAAGGATGGAGAAGATGTTTGGGATGGAGGAGAAGTTTGGAATGGAGGAGAAGAATCGAAGTATGGAGAAGAAATTAAGGAAGAAGAAGTTTAGGAAGGAGAAGAAGTTAAGGAAGAAGAAGTTTTGGATGGAAAAGAAGTTATGGATAAAGAAGAAAGTATGGATGGGGAAAAAGTTTGGGATGGAGAAGAATCTACTAAGTATGGAGAATAAATGAAGGAAGAAGAAGTTACGGAAGGAGAAGAACTTTTGGATGGATAGGATAGGAGATTATAGTTAAGGATGGAGAAGAAATTGGGATGTAGAATGAAGTTAAGGAAGCAGAAGAAGTTAAGGAGGATGGAGAAGAAGTTAAGGATGGAGAAATAGTTTGGGATGAGGAAGAAGTTAAGGAAGGAGAAGAGGTTAAGGAAGAAGAAGAAGAAGAAGTTTGGGATGGACAAGAAGTTAAGGAAGGAGAAGAAATTAGGGATGATGAGGAAGAAAGTAAGGATGGAGAAGAAGAAGTTATGGATGGAGAAGATGTTAAGGAAGGAGAAGAAACTAAGGAAGGAGAAGAAGTTAGGGATGAAGAAGAAGTTAGGGATGGAGAAGAAGTTTGGGATGGAGAAGAAGTTTGGGATGGAGAGGATTTTTGGGATGGAGAAGAAGTTTGGGATGGAGAAGAAGTTTGGGATGGAGGAGAAGAATCGAAGTATGGAGAACAAATTAAGGAAGAAGAAGTTTAGGAAGGAGAAGAAGTTAAGGAAGAAGAAGTTTTGGATGGAGAAGAAGTTTGTTAGAAAAGTAGTTTTAGATCAAGAGGGGGGGTGAATTGATCTTTGAAAGATTTTCGTGAATAACAGGTTATCTATTTGTAAAAATAAGATTTCAGATCTGTTCTTGAATCACAAAGCAATCAACCAACAATAAACGCAGCAACAGAATTAAAAGAGGAGAAAGGTTTAGAAAGATATCACCGGTGTTTATACTGGTTCACCCACTACCAGGGCTACGTCCAGTCTCCAGCCAAATTCCAGGTGGGTTCCACTAGATCAAATGTTTTACAGATTATAATCTTACACTTAATCTACCACAAGAACCACAATTCCAGTTCCTGTACCTAACCTTTCACCAGGAACCAAATTCCAGTTCTTGACAACCTCTACAACCAAATTCCAGCTGCAGAGAAACCAATGCCCACAATTCCAGGCACCAAACAATACAAAAAGAATGTAAAGAAATGAAAAGAAGAAACTAGAATGCTCAAACCAGTTTTATGCAATTCTGCAGTGTGTTTCTTCTTCAAAAGAAAGCAATTTGCCTCAAGAAAGAATTTCAAAGAACTTCAAAAAACTGGCGCTAATCTTTCTTGAAAGAGTGCTAAAGTTTGCTTGCTTGATTGCTAAAGATTGATGTTCAATTGTTGTGTTTAAAATGTTCAAGTCAAACTATTTTTATAGAAGATTTTCAAAACTGCTGGTTTAATCAATCTGTTAAAAAATCTTTTAATCTGTTAAAAGTGTAGTTTTAATCTGTTAAAACTTTTTTTAATCCATTAAAGCGTTCTTTATTATTTAACAGATTTGTTTTAACTGATACAACAACGTTTGTATCAATTAAAACTCTTTACAAAAAATCTTCTAATTTGATTTAATCGATTGTTTCGTGTTTCAATCGATTAATATACTGCAAAACTTTATTGTAAAATTTTCCAAGTGATTTTAATTGATAAAAATAAGTTTTAATCGATTAAAACGCTGTGTAGAAATTTTCTAAGTTGTTTTAATCGATTGAAGCGTGTTTTAATCGATTGAAAAAGCTCTGATCGGTCATAACTCAATTCTGATCGATCATATCTGATTTTGATCGGTCATAACTCAATTATGATCGATCATATCTGATTCTGATTGGTCATAATTGCATTCTGATCGATCATCCTGAATGTTAAGTGGATTTAATCGATTAAAACCAAGTTGTATCGATTAAAATACTGAAAAAACACTTCTCTTAACATTTTAAGTGATTTTAATCGGTTATATCGAAGCTTTATCAATTAAAACACTGACAGAAGGTTTTCAAAATTTTCTTTAATGAAAACAACCGGTTATTTCGAAATTATATCACTTAAAAACTTGTTTAAGAAAGCTTTTGTAAAATACTTTGTTTTAAACTGCTTAAACGTTTTTAGAGGCATTTTGCAAAATCTTTTAAGTGAAGAAACCTCATGTAGCAGAAAAGATAAAAATGATTATACCTAAGCATAGCTGCGGACACACTAATCTCTCTATTCTTTTATCTAAGTGACTGTTGACCGCTACAAAGTTGACTTTGACTTTATCTTTGACTTCATCAAATCAACAGGATCTTTGTCAGAGTATTTCAATAAGATCTTCATCACTTTCAGTCTTCCCCTATTTGATGAAGACAAACACCACTTTGAATAATAACTCTGCAAAAGAAGTCACTTGATAAAACAAATTAGTGAGTAATAAAGAAATGAATTATTTTCCTATTTCTCCCCTAAATTGTTGCTTCCTAAATAAAGAATTATTTCTGATCAAAAGTAAAGCAACTAAAGCAACTATTCTCCCCTTTTGACTTCATAAAAAAAATAGGGAACAAAAGAGAAACAATGCAAATGTATGTAATAAGTTTGAGATTTTGAAAATTGAGAAAAAAATGAATACGATATCTTACTCATGTAAAGATCAATCAAAGTTGATTCAAACTTATCTTCATTAACACGTTTGTAATGAATACAATTAACAAGTGTAAAGATAAGGGAATCATGCTTTAGTAGCATGTTACAAGAACAACCATTAACTAAAGCCTTTAATTTTTCTTTCCAGAATAAAAATCGATTAAAAACAGGACAAAATCGATTAAAAAGTTCTTGTTTAATGATTTTAATCGATTGAAATAAAGGTTTAATCGATTAAAACAGTGAAGGACTTCGAAAGTATGAAACATAAGTGCATTTAATCGATTAATTCGACATTTAATCGATTAAAATAGTAAAGAAAAATGTTGTATAAATTCTTTTAATCGATTTAAAAAGATTTTTTATTGATTAAAACAACCAGATTTGCAAACTAAGTAATGTTTGACGCATCTAAAATGCCTAATTCAGTGCGAATTTTGAAAAACCGATCACGAGCAAGAGGTTTTGTAAAAATATCACTACTGTAGAAAAGGCTTTTTACATCGGTTAAAATGGGCTTTCGACGTCGGTTAAAGCGGCGACATAGATACGGGGGTCATAGAAAGTAAGGCTTTCTACGTCGGTTCCTAATAACCGACGTAGAAAGTAAGACTTTCTACGTCGGTTAATAGGAACCAACGTAGAAAGCCTTACTTTCTTTGAGCTATTATGATCGGTCAAACTGGTTATGATCGGTCATAGAGCTATCTTGATCGATCATAACAGGTTCTGATCGGTCACAGAAAGACTTTCTACGTCGGTTAGTCAGGGAACCGACGTAGAAAGTCTTATTTTGTATGAGTTATTCCGATCGGCCATAACTCGGTTCTACGATTCGGCTCATATACTTTCTACGCTCTGGTAATGACATAACCGACGTAGAAAGTGTTATTTTTTTTTAAAATACCCGCATTTTATTTACAGATGCTACCTTTCTTCGAGTAGACCCGCCTATTCATCACAGCTTCAGACAAATAACCACATATCCAAGCATGTACGTATATGCACAGTTCATATATAAATTTGCTACGTATATATATCCAAGACATGACGATTCGATTGCAGTACGTGATATGTACATATGAAACACATTGAAATGAATATATGTACGACAGCATCCAGCTCTGCATAGCTTCATTTACTTAAACGAATGTAAATTTCCTAACTTAAATCAATTCTATCTAAATTGTTACAAGTTAAATTTCCTATGAAGATTGAATGCTTAAATTTCCTATCAAGTTGGAGCATTCTCCCAAAATCCTTCCATATGGTCATAACGGATGGCATGCACATCATCTATTTCTACATTAACACTCAAGTTTGGCATATTTGAAGAGAAACATGGTGTCTCGGGTATATCAAGTACTAATTCATCATTCTCATCGAAGTATACATGGGTTTTCCTTGTAGAACCACCGACCATCCTTTGTTAGCGGGATCAGTGACATAAAACACTTGTTTTGCCCGAGATGCCATGATAAATGGTTCTTCTGGTATAACGAGTATTTTCATGGTTAACCAAGGTAAATCCAAGATCATCGGTGAAGATGCCAGTATTAAAATCAACCCACTTGCATTTAAAAATAGGTACTCCGAATATCGTGTAATCTATTACCCAAATCTCTTCAATTACACCAAAGTAGCCCATTGACGCCCTTATCGGATATTTATCCTTTGAACTCGAGAAATGCATTGATTCAGCCACCACCATGACTCCACTATTTTGCATTGTGCTTATTTCATCTTCTCCCTTTGTATAAAATGAATAGTTATTTATATCATACCCACCCCAACATATCACATCAAAGTTTGGCTCACATGCTAGCCACTTTAGTGTATCGAAGTCGTATTGTCACCTTCAACTTGTTGTTTAAACCACTTCAAAAAGCTCTTGTTGTGTTCAGTGATCACCCACTTTTTAGGCATACGTGGATTATTTCGCTTCACAATCTCTTTATGAGCACTTAAGTAGGGGATGACTTCTTCACTCGTTATTCAATATGTACAAATGCGCTTGAAGTACTTCATCTCGACACATTGTCACAACTTTTGCACCTCGAGTTCCTTTACCAAGACCTATTCCATGGTAACGAGTCTTAGGTAACCCTATAGCTTCAACTTCCGATAAGTAGTTTGTGCAAAACTCAATAGCTTCCTCTCGCAATATATCTTTGAACAATTGATGCTTCGAGACGATATTGGTTCTTCACATACCCTTTTAATATTTTCATGTATCGCTCAAAAGGGTACATCCATCGTAAGAAAATCTGGACCACAGATTCTAACTTCCCTGGCTAGATGAACAATCAAGTGAACCATAATATCAAAAAATGATGGAGGAAAGTACATCTCAAATTGACATAATATTACTGCAGACCTCATTCTCTAACTAATCCAAAACATCCTGGTCCATAACTTTACTACATATGGCATTAAAAAAAGCATAATCGAGTTAAGGAATATCTAACATTGTCTCGGTAAGATACCTCGAATAGCCACAGGTAGAAGTTGTTGCATCAATACATGACAATCATGAGATTTTAACCCAAGCAATTTGAGATCTTTCATAGATACAAGTCTCTTCACATTGGAAGAGTAACCAAATGGAACCTTCACACCTCGTAAAAACTCACAAAAACTTTTTTTCTCTTTTTTAGACAAGTGTGTGACATGCTCGGAGGCAAGTATGTTCGGTTACCATGAGGTTGAGGAGCTAATTGTTCTCTTATACCCATTTCAACCATGTCCAAACGAGCATTGACACCATCTTTTGTTTTTCCTTGAATGTTAAGGAGCGTTCCGATGATACTCGTCACACACATTTTTCTCTACATGCATGACATCTATACAATGCCTCACATCAAGAACCCTCAAATATGGAAGAACAAAAAGGATTGACATTTTCTTCCATATACCCGTGGCTTTCTTTTGCGTCTTTCCAAACTCACACGAAATTGCACTTACTCGTTGATATACTTCTTCCCCACTTAAAGGTGTTGAGGCTGCATCATTTTCTTGACACCCGTTAAATGATTTTTTTAATTT